TGTTTTGACCCTCTTTTTTGTTTTTCCCTTGAAATTGTGAGTCTATGCTGAAGTCAAGTTTCATATCAGTTTTTTCTTACATGGTATATCATGGGGCAAATTTCTCAAAGATCCCCCGAGATGCTTCTTTTAATGTTGGAGCTATAAGTGCAGGAATTTGTCTATTTTTGTTTTAAATTTTGTATCATCTATATCCAGATTTGTATTTCCACTTGAATTGGGTTTAAAGAAGTGTACACATTGAACTTTTTTACTGATTCATCTAAATAATTTGACATTGTGTTCACATATGAAAAATACAGCAAGAAAATTTTCGTAAGCAAAGGGATTTTTTGTCAGTATAGGTACTGAAAGTACAAAGCAGTCTTTTCAAAAATTGCCTGAGAACTATGAGCTGTCACTCTTCTTGGTTCCTCCAAAAAGGAAAGTCAGTATTTGGAAGGGGCAAGGGTTTTGCTCCTATGGAAAATTTTGCTAGGAATCCTGTCATGTCCCTTCCCTTCCATTTTGGCATTTAGAACCAACTTAGGACAGGTTTTTGAATGTAAATATTACCATTTTCCCCACTGGGCAACCAGGAATTAAAACAGACCTTTGTTATTGTAAGGCTGGAGTGGGACTTGATTCTCCCAGCCCCCAGCCTGCTTGCCAGCACTGGCACTGTTCTCAGCAGGAAACTCAGCTCAGCACCAGGGCTGTCATCTGCAAGCACAGAATGTTGTAAAGGAGATAAGATAGGACAAGGAATTTTGAAGTTCCCTGGGCATCTGGAGACTTCAAGGACTCTGCCCACTGAGGTGCAAGACTGCCAGAAAACTTTGACCACAGATGTTTATTAAAAATCTTCACACCCAATGTCCTTTGCCTTCTTTCAGTTCCTACCAAAGGGGCCTACTTCCGTTTGTTCCTGGCAGATTGCCTTTTCACCCTCTGTCTGCCTGTACCCTGGCACAATAAATTCCATCCTATGTTGTCTTTATACAAGCCTAGTGACCTCTGCTGGTCTCTGCCCCTGGAGTTCCTTACAGTGTTTCAGATTCATCAAGCCTGCAGTGAGTGTGTCCAATGTAGAGATACAAGCTGAAGGAACTCATTGTTTTAGTTCCCCTTTTCTTTAACAGTTTTATAACGTTGTTTCATAGAGTTCCTCTCAAACAGATTGAGGACACCTAAGTAACAATGGTAGAAGTGTTTTGCTCTTGAAATAATCTAGAGAGCAGTGCATTTCAGCCATCAGTTGAATATTTTCTTGTGTTCTGAATTTTTGAGATTATTCAGAGTTTACAGTTTCATAGCTTTGGCTAAAAGTCTGAATTCTTTAAAAGGTTATTAAATATTTTGTGTCCTGATGCTTGCTGAAACTGAGAGAAAAATCATCATATACAAACTAGTGCTCCCTGGAGTACTACTACATCCCCTCCTGTAAGATATCCTCCTTATTGTGGAAAGAAGGTATAGTTCCACTGAGTTGCTTACTTGTGACAAGGGGAGAAATGTAATAATTCATCATAAAATCCACATAGTGATGGTAAGAAGAGCAGGGAGAGCTATAAACTTTAGATAAATTGCTCTCATTGCAGGAATTTCCAGTTAGTCTAAGTGTCAAGCACACATGTGTTGAACTATCAGAATTTCCCTACAGGCATATTCTGTAGGTGTCTGGACAGTGATAGTGCTTTATACATTTTTGTTAGAACTGCAGTAGCAGTCTATTGGTACAATACTATCAGTTTTACATTTTGAAACATGGAAATGTAGCAGATTAGACTTGATTGCCAGACAAAGGTTGCCAGTCAGAGAATTCATTAAATTTAAGTAAGTCAGGCAGTTTGAAATCAAACAGCATAAGAAATTGCTTTTTAAAAAAAACATTGATAGTTTGGGAAGAAAAATTGAACTCAATGAAGTCTTGAACAGTAGAGTCAAGTGATTTATTTGCTCATAGTATACCTGGTCATGGTGAATTTTTGGTGTACTAATTAAACAAAGGAATCTGTAAAATTATTGCTGTGCATGTTCAAAAAGGAATAGTGCTTTTTCGTTGTATTAATGCCTTTGCTATCTGGAAATTTGAAGGAATGGACTAGTTTAGGATAAGGTTTTCTGGATAGTAGAGATTATGCTTGTATTTTATCAGTTTGGCATCAGTTTATTAACATTGGCATTTTCATTGGGATGGAATATTAGATGATTTTGGCTCAGATAAACTTATCTTTGAATTGTAGTTTTGCCATTTACTACCAGTAACTTGGAGGGATTGTTTCAACTGTTGGTAACTTAGTTCTGTCACTGAAGAATAAGGCTAAAAAAATCACCAAAGTAGGTAATTATGAGAATTAAATAAGATTATATAAGTAATTATGAATTGTGCCTATAATTTCTCAATTTTAGAAAGTGCTGATACAGTTATTCTTTTATATACATCTACAACTTCTTACCAGTGCCTTAATAGGGTGGATATATTTGGAATATATATGTCCTTCTCCAGTGAACTTACCACTGAGTTCTTCACTAAAGTGGTAGGCTGTGGTCCTGTAGGTTCACCACCACTGTTCTAGCCTACAGACCCTTCTTTCCTCATTGAAACTTTTATTTTCATAATTTGACTTTTGTTAATACACGTTTATTAAGGCTGTAAACTTCTGTATTATATCAGAATAGGATATTCAAGGAAAGGGGGTATTTCTTGGCATGCTATTACTATCACAGAATTTGATTTTATGAAATTTTTACATACTTTATTCTCAGGTTTTTCTGTGGTATAGAATCCAGTAGGAAAAGTTACTCTGGAACTGAGTTCAAACAATAATGCCCTGGTTGTGGGCAAAACCACGACTGTCCTGGGGATATGGTCTATTACATGACTTAAGACTTAGGATCAGCATAGCTCTTTAAAAGAAAAGGAAACAAACAAAAATAAGTCCTGGACCATCTCTTCCGCCAAAGAAGAAGGCTAGTAAGTTTTGCACACGACTGCGGTAGTAACAGATTAAAAGAGACTGCAATGAGCTTATAATGCGAAGTTAGGCACAGTAATCTAACTGCAGCTGCAGTTACATAAGTGGTAATGTTAGATTGCAACAGTATTTCGTAGGTTGACTAGTTTGTAAAGAATCTTGTGTAGGTTGCATGTTGCCTTTACTAACTTTATTTTGTTTTAACCATTGTAAGAATCTTGACTTAGTGACTTTGGTATCTCCCCATAAATGATAGCTGCTGTATATCGTGTAATAGTGCTGAAACTATTTGTGTGCATGGTCTAGGGCAAGGAATACTTAACTGGGAGTCCTTCCGGCTAGGTTTCTAGGTATAGGTTCGTCACTAATGTTGTTATACAGTATTTAAATGACCTGTCCTACTTTTAGTGTTCTCATTGTTAAATGTAAGAAGAAATTAGACCAGATAATCTATAATATTCTGTTACATTCAGTTATTTTGCCCCTAAGCACAGTTCTTCATTGTTATTCACTAAATTTTTTCCTTTTTCTGTTATTTTTGTGATTTCATTACCTTGCACCGTAAGCCATTTGGTTATGTAATCCCAATAAAATGCTTGATTGGCAGTCCTATGTGAGTGTAACTGTCAATTCAGCATTTTACAAGAGCTACTAAAATTTATTTAATAGAAGAGTATTAAGTGATGTTTTAGTATTTAAAAATGATGAGTACACTTATTTGAAGCCAAATACATAGTTTTCAAATGTGCATATATGTCTAAAGTCGTGTGCCTTTATTTATTTATTTATTTATTTATTTTGGTACCGAGAATTGAACTCGTGACTTCAGGCTTGCCAGCCAAGCACTTATGCCACTGAGCTATATCCCCAGCCCTGTGTGCGTTTAACAGATCACATGGAAACATAATTTCGTCAGCACCTTGTATTTCTGTACAGAGTGTATTTGTTTTTGAGTGAGTGTGACCATGTAAATATTACCTCTTTCATTTTTATCTTATGTAGAAATATTGGTTTTTTTGTACTCAGTTTATACAGTTTCTCTTGTGATTGTTTCCTTGGTTCATTTGTGTAATATTACAGAACTATGAGATAATGTAGGTATAGGTCTCCCTCACCAAGAATATTTTCAATACAGTTACATCTCTTTTTTAAAAAATTTTTATTCTTCTCAGCCATTAGAGTAAAATGTTTGTTCTCTTTTTATGGAGCCTCTTATGGTTTATGTCTAGATGTCCCCCCAAAGCCTCATGCAGTCATGGGGTGGACTTCTAGAGCTTTTGATTGACTCATGTTGCAATGGGATTATGGGTGTAAGTGCTACACTCATGGTCCAATGGGATTATGGGTGAGTGCTGGGATTATGGGTGTGAGTGATTGACTCATGTTGCAATGGGATTATGGGTGTAAGTGCTACACTCATGGTCCAGTGGGATTATGGGTGAGTGCTGGGATTATGGGTGTGAGTGCTGTGATTATGAGTGTGAGTGATTGACTCATGTTGCAATGGGATTATGGGGGTGAGTGCTGGGATTATGGGTGAGTGCTGGGATTATGGGTGTGAGTGCTGGGATTATGGGTGTGAGTGTTACACCCATTCTGTAATGGATGTAGCAGGTTGTGTAGCCTGCATATAATATGAGGAAAGGAAAGAGGCTTGCTTGCTGCTCCTTTGTTGCTTTTGTTGTCTTCTACCACCATGAACTGTTGCCCTCTGCCATGTGCCATTCTGCCTTAGAGCCAGCCAAGTATGCACTGAAACCTCCACCAACTGTGAACTAAGTAAACCTTTCCTTCCATAATTTTGGGTGTCAGGTATTTTGTCCCAGCAACAAGAGAAAAATAACCAAGACAGAGCCTTTTAACTAATGTGTATTAGTTATACAATGTTTTGTGGAACTATTAATAGATTTTACCTAATTATTATATCTGTGCTTATTCATTAAGAAATGAGGTAGTGAAATGCCCACTGTATGGAAAGAATGTATTTTTATTTTTTATGCATTTTATCATTGTTAACCAAGCTTTGTTTGTTGTATCTTGTAGTGTTTGCAGACAGAAAAAATAAATCATCAAGGAATTCAGACAACTGAGTACTTGTAACTTGGACCAGTTTGAGTTTTGATTTATCAGATCAACTGGCAACAGAAAATGAAAAGTAGTGTGGCACAGATCAGAGTAAGTATCTAAAACTTACGATGGGAAATGCAAGTTTACAGTCAATTAGCATATGCTTTCAGTAACAATGCCTTTGTTTAATTAGGACGTTAGGGTGGCATCATACATACTCACACACAATTTCAAAGGTTGACACTTGGCTAGAGGTAGTAACAGTGTATGAAAAGTCAGTTGAGAGAATATACAGGATGTATTTTCTGTACACATTGCTGTCTGTATGAATCATGTAAGTGAGCACGTATGAAAGAAAGTCAATAACAAATGGTTCAGGATTATACCATCATTCTCATGGAGAAAGTTTTCCTGAAAATATGACCAGAAAGGCAGACATTCCCTTCCTCCCATTGGTCTAGATTCCTGCATATCTTCCAGGTATGAGCTTCTTTATGCATATTTCATAGCATACATGGGCTTTTTATTCTGTGCTGTCCTTTACTTTAGACATTCATTTATTCAGCAAATACATACTGAATTCTTACTGTGTCAGTGACTGTTACGAGCACTTTGAGAAAAATAATGAATCGAAATCTTTCTTCTCATGAAGCTTACATCTACTAGTAGCAGGAGAAGACAGAAAATAAATCATAAACTTATGTAAGTAAGTTGTATAGTATATTAGAATTCAGTGCTAGACTGGCGTTGCTGAGGAGAAAAGTAGGATAAAGTAAGGAAGATCGATAGCTCTGAGGGGTTGAAGCTTATAATAAGGAAGTGTGAGATATATTGAAAAGAAACATAGTCATTTGAATAGACATTTGTAGGAGACAGCAGAGTTAGGCATGAACTGGCAAAGATGAAGTAGAGGAGCTGGAACAAGTTGTTGGTAGTGGAAAGTTACAGGAAGTGAGGTCTGAGCAGTCACAGGGTTTGATATTTAAATTTGATTGTCAGTTTGATTGGCTTGAGAGATGCCTAGGAGATAGTAAAGCCATAATAACCTCCTTTAAGTTTCATTGTGGGGTATTTTGTTCAGCAGTGGAGAACTGACCAGTACACAGGGAATAGTGACTCCTGTGCTTTCAGACCATGCCTGAGTGGTCTTGGCAGAACAAACCATTCAGCTTCATTCTCTTTTTAACTAAATAGATTTACAAGTGAACACATCACTCCTTGGGCCTTGAAGTCCAAGAGGAAGATGTATTTTTATTTAATTACAGATATAGGCCCTTCTCCATTCCTTTCCTCCACTAATGCTGCACCCCTACATGTTCTTTAGAGAACTGGTAGACTCCACGCTCTTTGACGGTGGGCAGTAGACACAAAGCCTGGTGCACAGTTCCTTTGCCACCATCTTTTCCTCTCTCTGGTACGAGGTGACTCTCTCCAGCCTCCATGTTAGTTACACATCCAGGCTTTGCTTAAAAATCTGCATTGGCAGGGGATCACTGCCATCTCATCTAGTTCCATCTGTCAGTAGATACCATCATTTACTGTCTTCGCAATTTGTATTCTGTCTTAGTTACTTTGCTCATTGCCAAGACAGAATACTCAACACTCTAACTGCAAGGAGGATAGGTTTATTTAGCTCACATTTTGTAGATGTTTCAGTTCATAGTTGGCCAGGTCAAAGGCAAAGGGGCATCACAGAGCAGAAACAGTTCATGGCAGTCAGAAGGCAGCAAAGTAGCAGTGCTTCAGCAACAAGTGAGAAGCAGTGACCCTCTTTCTGTTTCTTATGTGTTATCCAGACTACCCACCCTTAGGCCAGGTAGCACTCATGCATAGGTTGGAGAAGTGTTAATCCTAACATTATATCCTTGATCCCTGTATCACATACCCAATATCCAGCCATCTCCGAAAAGCCCCCACCTATGGCCACAGGAGTTGGGGGGGACATCTAGATACAAGTCATAACATAGTCATTGACCCATTGTTGCTTAAATCATTAAATTATTGAGGGCCCATTAGGTGGATGACTTTGGTAGGATTGGAGACAGCAAGAGAACCTTTGTTAGACGAGAGCACTGAGACTTTTGGACTAATACGTTTTACAGAGAGAGAAATAATTAGTCTTTCTCAGGATTTTCTTCCCACTGCTGCTTCGGGTGTTCCTTTTATGGTGCTGATCGGTCTTTGGTGGCCTCCCCCAGCCTGGCTTCAGTCACCCTGCCCTTTATGCTTAGTGGCTCGTCTGCCTCAGCCATCTCTTTTCGGTTTGCCTCCAGCTCCCCTTATTGTGAGCTACTAGCTGCAGGGAGGGGCTGATCTTCTTACTTCAGGTGCGGCTGAGGACTTTGCTGTGACCCTAATGAAGTCCTATTCATGCAGCAAAGCTGAGTTCAAGTTCTGCTGTCGTCACTCTGCTCTGTTCGCCACAGTGATTGTTCCCTACTCGGGATCTCCTGTTAGCACGTACCGTGTGTGCACCAGTCATTTCTTTCTTGATCATATTTACGAAGTCCTTCTGAATCACAACTTCAGTGTTTTTGGTCTCTTCCTCTTGTTCACAGCAGATGTTCCAGAGATGTGTTAAAAATCATTAGCACAGAATTGAGACTTTCTTTGTAATGTAGTCAGAATAATTGCCTTGTCTTAGAAAAAACAGATAATGCAATTTTATTGTTCTCTGTCTCTTTTCTCCCTATTGAGAGATGCCTAGGAGATAGTAAAGCCATAATATCGTCCTTTAAGTTTCATTGTTGGGTATTTTGTTCAGCAGTGGAGAACTGACACAGGGGAGTAGCGACTCCATGTGCTTTCAGACCTTGCCTGCGTGGTCCTGGCAAACCATTCAGCTTCATTCACTTTTTAACTAAAGAGATTTACACGTTGTGAAACGTGTTTAATCATGGACATCTTTATAACTGTCTCTCCTACAAAGTCATAAGCTCCTGGTCAGTCTTTTCCTCCTTTATATCCTTCAAAATGTCTATGTAGGAATGGTACCCCTTTTAGTAAGTGACCAGTATAAATACCGTATTTTATGTTAGTACAGATTCAGATGTTTCTTGTACTCTGTATTTGACTTGGGGAGGGGGGGAAGAAGAGAGAGAGAGAGAGAGGGGGAGAGGAGGGTAAGCGAGAGAGAGGGGGAGAGAGAGAGTGATGATACATGCTGAGCCACTGAACTATACTCTCAGCCCCTAGCTTATGTTATTAATGTAAAGTTTTGTAGAAACCTATTTCATACCTGTTACCAATCCTACTTCATTGTGTTTAAATGAAATTTTTAATACTTTGTTACACTATTACTTAGATATACTTTGTTATATCTATTAAAGAAAAGATTTTTGGGATGGTTGCATTTAGTGTAAAGTAACAACCACACTACAGCTACTTTAAATTATACATTTTAATTAAATGCTTATGCACATACATAGATTAGTCTAGTTAGGGCATACTGTTCAAAATATTCAATAATTAATGAGATTGGCCGTTTACTTGTGATAATGTTAGATTCAAACTGCAGTTAAATAGGTGTTCATAAAATAGAAGTTGGAATTTATTTACATTACTCTCCAGGATAATTTCCTATTTTTAAATGTATTTTTTTTCTCATTAAGGAGGCAAGCATGTAAATTTGCTGAACAAGTTATTTGATTAATTTCTTTTTTTTTTTAGATTTCAAGATTAAGTTGCTTGAATACTTTTTCTTTCTTACAGTGAAGTTAGTTAAAATAATTTTAGTTCTTAAGAAAATAAGACATCAATATCAGTGTAGACTAGTTGTACAGAATAATTTACTTACACATAAAATAAATACTTGGTTTCCTTTAATGTATTTGGATTTTTAAAATAGGATATGTGCTCAAACTGGATGGCTTATATCTGTCTCACATCATGTCATTTAGTTCTTATGTTACAAGAAATTACTTACGTGAATGTACACAAATGTAATTGTTTCTCAGAGGGTTTGGCATAACGCTGTTTCTTGAGAATCATGTTTTCTTAATTCTCTGGAACTTAACAAGTATGAAACATATCAGACACTCAAATAATGTTTGTTGAAAGTAAAAATAACTTTTTATAAATATGTTAGTCAGTTGCTTTTAGCTGTTTATTTTATCCCAATTTAATGAGTTGTACTAAATTTGTGTTTTCATAAGCCAAAGGAGGTATAAGGTGAGTGCAGTGTTAGAAGATTTTTATCCATTTAAGTAACATGGTTTATTCCTACGATTTAAAAAGTTTTGAAACCACTTCTAAACTGTTTGCAACTTTCAGAGATATACTCATTATCCATATAATTTTAGCATGAATAATTTTGAAATGTTTTCTCTTCATTTTTCTCTTTGAAAGCACTCTTCTGGTCATGACAGAAGAGAAAACTATAATTCTTACCAGAGGACCTCCTCTCCTGAAGACAGGTAAATAGTTTTAAATGTTTTAAGTATAATAGAATTTTTTTTTTTTTATACTAAGTGTGTACAATAATTTAGTCTTAGTTTCCTAATTTTAGGGTAGGTGTTAAAGTGCTGCCTTTGCTATTACTGCTGTTCTTTATATTTACATAGCTCTTTATGGTTTACAAAATATTTTTGCATGTACTGCCATCATACTTAAGTTAAGATCAGCCATCCAGTGCTCGCTCTGGCAGCACATATACTAAGATCAGCAGTCCAGTTGCATTAATATTTATCATATTTTCACATGAGGACTACAGTTAAGATAGGACCATTAAAAATAATTTCTGTGACCTGGGAATATAATCAGTACTAAAACACTTGCCTAATGTGCATGAGTCCATGGATTTCGATACCTCATGCTACAAATAATAGTTGTTACTATTTCTAAAGGGAGAAACAGCCTTACTCCCTATGTGCTTCATCCTTATTGCATGCTACCAAATATCTGTCCAAACTTTTACTTTGTGCACATCGGTTTAATTGCCCTGGTTTGTGACTGCTTTCACAAATTAACTACTCCCTGTATAAAAAACATACATCTCTCATTTTCTATATAGACAACATACGTAGGTGTACTTGTGTGTTTAACTTAACTGTGGAAGTATGTATTAAATATTGGATTATGTTACTTTGTATATTGTATATTAACTTCTCTTAAAATGTAACTTTATTGACTTTTAAGATTCAAATAATAGACCTAATGCTATCCTTGTTTATTCACTAATAATTTCAGTCCATTTTCATGGTTATCTGATAATGCAGTTTTAAGAAAAATAGCTGATAAGCAATAATCTATCTTTTGGAGTAGTTAGTGTTTATGGAGAGCAGCCAGACATCCGTCTCATTTGTTCAGTGCTTTGCTGAATAAGCCAGCAAGGCAAAAGGACTTATTTTGTAGGATAGCCTTTTCCTTGCCAATTATACATGATCCCCAAGTGTACTTCTGTCATGAAGAACAGTGTGAATCAGTGTGAACAAGTTTGGGTAAATGAATTTCAGGAGTTGTTTTACTGTGCACAAACTGAAACCTTTTGTAATCCTGATGGAGTGAGCAAGTGTTAGGAAAATGAGCTGTTAAAAATTTGACAAGATTTTGTTCATTCACAGAGTTGCTATAGCGCTACCAGTGTATGACTTTCCTAATTGTTTATAACGTATGTGATTTCAACTTATGACTGTGGTTCTTCATTTCATATGTTAGATATGCAGAACGAGAAAGGTCCCCTCAGGATAGAGACTACTTTGATTACAGCAGGTCTGACTATGAACATTCGAGAAGAGGACATTCTTATGATGGGAGTATGGAATCACGGTTAGTATTGGAAATTTTAACTGTGGGAAGATTATGTTTGCTTAAGTTTTCCTTTTTAAGAAAAATATTAACAGCAGCTAACAATTATTTTTAGGTACCCACCTTTCTAATAAATACTTGAATTTCCTTATTACATTAAATATATGAAGTATATACTATTATGTCTGTTTCACAGCTAAGAGAACTAAGGCTTGAACCAGTTCAGTATTTTTAAAACGTAACAGTAGCAAGCCTAGGTCTGTCTGACCTGCAGCCCAAACTTTTATTTTGTGCTAACAGAAGGCTTGGCTTATTTTTTTTTTTTTTTTTTTTTTTCTGAAATTCTTCACTAAATGAAACCTGGGTGGTATAACATAAAGTTATCTAAATTTTCTTTGTAGAAGGATATTGACAATGGAGTTAACTAGTTGGTAGGTTTTTTTCTAAGTATAAATGGTTTTTACTTTGATCTGGGAGAGCTTAGCTACTCACCTGTTCCTCCAGCCAGTAGGACTTACAGGATTTATCCTGTTGAGAAACGGGTAAGGGCATTGAAGGGAGAGCAGGTGATCCTACTCTTCAAAAGCTAAAGCTTTGGAATGGGAGTATTTGGAAATTTCAAGGGAGTCATTTAAGAAAAGTCAGATCTAAGAGCCATTCATGTTTTACTCAAAAGGAAGCAGAGTATTATAAGCCTTTGTTATTGTTCTGCACGTAGTTTTAATTCTTTACTCTCTTGAATAAATAGGAATAGTTTCTTCAGTGAGAATATTAGAAACCAGTATCTTCGTACTGTGTTTTAAAACCTGTTCAGTAAAAGATATCTATTTGCTTAAGAAAAAGCATAGTGGAGGAAAATGTTACATAATGCATTTGGGGAAAGAAACTCCCAGTTAAATGTTGTAGCAGTCTTAAAGAAAGTAGGTGTGCATTTGCTAGGATGCTCAGTACCGAAAAAAGAGGTGAGCTGGAATTCTGCAGGAGATAGGAATAATTCTCAGCTGCTTACTACAGAAAGCACTGCATGGATAGTGCTCTCTTAACCTGCATGTATCCCTGCTTCCAGTAGAAGTAGTGACGCAGAGAACTGACTAGTCATTTGAAACTGACTTTGGACTATCTGTTCTAACTTTTTTAGTGAGGTAGTCTTGCACAATGGAAAGAGTACAGATTTTGTATTGCTACATACTAGAGTTCAAATCTGAGTTACTAGTTATACAAATTGATAGGTTCTTACCAACTTCCTTCTGAGCCTCCATTTCCTCATCTGTAAAATTAGTGTGACAGTGTTTGTCTTGTCTGGTGTATTAAATTTAAGAATAGCTTTCTATCTTAACTACTGTGTTTCAATATAGTAAATACTCAGAAAATGAAAGCTTGAAGATACATTTTTAGCATATTTATTTGAATAGGGATAAGCAGTGAACCAACGGCACTTTGAATAGCGTGTAGAAAGTAATAGAGTTCCAGTTTCCCTGCTGTACAGACTGGTTGATCTTGTGTTTTTAATTAATGTGACAAAACTAACAAATTTTAATATTTTGCAAAGAAACCGTGACCTATCTTGTAAGTTCTCTTTTCTCCTTCAATAATTTTCACTGTCCCTTTGCAGACATCTGCCTATCTTTGTCATCATTTTAAAGCCAGCTGTTCTGATTTCCCTGTTTGTACTTCTTAGTCCCCCAGCTTCAGAATTTGTCTCTTGTGTTGTATAGTTTGCTAAGATGGATGTCCTGTTGATATGTCACGTATTACCCCTGACAGCCATCAAGACTAATCCCCACTATACTTTTGATCAGATTTCTCTGCACTGTACTCAGCAAAGTACATTATTTGATATCATTTCCTTCTCACTACATTCTAATACATACCTAATCGTAAAGTGTTACATCAAATTATCTTACAAAGCCAGGCTCACCAGCTAGTACCTTAAATGATGCCTTGATAAAAACAGCTACTTCCATTTTATTTGGCAGGCTGATTTATGAATAAGGAAATGGCTTTGAGGTTATGAAATAACTGATTGAACTTGCAGTTAACCCATGTACTAGTTGTTGAAACTAGAATTCGAACTGAATTTTGACTCCAAAGCACATGGTTTTACTGTTTCGTATTTGTTTGGGGTGGGGGTGTTCTTTTGCAAGCCCTGACTGTAGGACTTCAGTACAACTCCTTGTTTGATCAGAGTGTAAGTAAAATCTCACGGGATCCACACAGTCACTTTGTTAAGCAGCAGTCTAGGTGTTACGTAGAATATGAAGGCTCACAGTCTATAAAAACATTTGAAGATAACAAATGTTTCTACTGAGAGTACTCGTTGTGCTCTGCAAGAAGAATGAACATGATACTATAAGGATGTGATCACCGAGCTAGCTGTATTACTTAGTCTTAGAAGAATCATAACCAGTGTCCGTAACTCTGCGCTGTCACCTCTCCTGGAACATGCTACATTCACAGTAAGAAGAAACTTGGTGGGTAGATTTTGGAGCATTTGCCTTTGTGACTGGTGGGAGTTTATATTTGAAACCACTTTGTGCCCTCTCTTCCCTCTTAGAATGTACAATCTGTCAGTTCTCCTTGGCAGTCTCTGTTTCAAAACGATCCTCCGCTTCCTGAGTAGGTAGCTGCTTTTCTTTCTTCACGTAAGAATTACTGTATTACTGTGTTTTAAAACAACTGTACGTAAGTTGTATTTATGTCTCAAACTTACCCTTTGGATTTTGCTAAAACCTATAGTTTTCTAGGGATGTAATGATGACATAAAACTTTTATTCATTGTATTTATACAGATCACTGTCTCACGCAATACATAAGCAAAGTGATCTGAGTTTCTAAGACAATGTAAAAGAAAACGGCTAATTGGACAAGCATTCTTCCTTAGGGAAAGAGCAAAAAGTCAGGAATGTATCACTTGTTTGTTCTTAATGGTTTCAGAAAACAGTACTGTGATTGTTCTAAAAGTGTTAGCTTAAGAAAGATAATCACCTATATTAGAGGGAAGAATAATTGTGGCTAGAAAATTTTTTTCATCTCAAAATCACCAGGAGCCTGTGAGCTTCTTAATGAACACATTCATTCTATCAAGAAACAATTCTAAATATTAATTTTTTATAGCAGCCTTACATCTACATCTGCCATTATCAGAAATAAACTCGTTTCTCCTCTGTACAGTTTACCGTATACACCATGCCACGGTCCAGTTTACCTTCTTTGAGATGGGTTCCCTATGTAGTGCAGGCTGGTCTTGAATCTTTCTACCTCAGCCTCCTGAGTGCTGAGATTAAAACACTATTTTCATGTCACTCTTCCACTCAGAAACTTGTAACAATTCACCATTGCCTCTGGCGCAGAAAACTCAAGTCTGTTGGTTGTCTCTTTTAAAAAGTTCACTCTCACGCAGACTCATCTTTCCAGCTACTGTCACAGATGACCCTTTGTTGTTTCCTGATTGTTCTATTCGCTTGGGCCTGAATACCCTGCTCGGTTTTTCAATATTCTCTCTTCAGTTAGTAGCAGAGTCTGTCCTCCCTTTCCCCTTTCTACTCCCCTTCTTGGTTGTCCTATAAATTCTGTAAAGCTTTCAAGCCCTCATGGAGTGGTGGCAAACCTATGGCCCGCGTGCAGTAGCCTGATAAGCTCTCAAAGGTTCACCATCGCTGCCCTAGTGTAAGTGACATGTTTTTCTGTTAAGCAGTGCCTTCATCAGCCTAAACTGCTCTTCCGGTTCTGAGTTTTTGGGACCCACTTGAGGTCTCATTCATTTAGTGTTCAGTTCATTGTAAAAACGTGTTTTATAGTGTCTTTTCTCCTTTCCAAAATAATATTACAGAAGCAGGGACCGAGAAAAACGCAGAGAAAGAGAGAGAGAGATGGATAGGAAAAGATCCCGGGAATCCGCATCTCCAGGGAGAAGAAGCCCAGAATCGTCAGTAAACCAGAGCTCAGCTCAAGATGAGTCTGTCACAAAGAAGAAGAAAGATGAGCTGGATCCTCTCCTCACTCGCACGGGTGGAGCATACATTCCTCCTGCAAAGCTCAGGATGATGCAGGAGCAGATTACAGATAAAAACAGGCACGTTGATAGTCTATAAGCCATTGATACCCTCATTGAAAAACAGATCAAGCATGTTCTGTTAGCCTTGGCTGTTGAGAATAGACATTAACCCCCAGTAACAGAGACTTCAATTTACAGGTGTCTCTACTCCAGATTGTGCTGCACTGGAGCACAACATACCACTTGCCCCGACGTTAACATATGATTTCTTTGTTTTACATGAATGAAAAAGTTTGAGAAAAAGATTATTCATTTTTTAAAGTACTTTCAATATTGGTAGTATACTTTTTTGTAAATAAGCTTATTATTGATATTTTAGATCTAAAGCAGATCTTCCTGGTTGTACTACATTAGAAGCTAGCAAACTTTTTCCATAAAAGGCCAATTAGTAAATAGTTTAGGCTGTGGGTTATTTGGCCTTCGTTGCACCTACTTAACTCCACCACTGTAGTGTAAAACATTCATAAGTAACCTAGAAACAAAAAGGGTGGCTGTGCTGCAGCGAACTTCACCAGAAGTGGTGGCTCATCGCTGTATGGATGTGTAAATGAGATGGCAATTTTCTCTTTTTCTCCCTTTCTTCAGACTGTATCGTCTTAAACTACTTTTTTTGCTATTTAAAGCAAACAAAATTGATACATGAACATTCATATGGAAAATACCCTTTTTCAAAATAATTGTGATGTTAAGAAGCTATTTGCAAGATTTTTTTCTCCTCAACTGGATTGAGAATATAATTAGGAAAAATATGGTGCCAGGTTGAAATGGTGACTGGAGGCCAAGTTAGTAAATAGGTTAGGGTAGAAATTAAGTACACTACAAGAAAAACACTTGAGGCGAGCTAAGGGGGCAGTTCCTATCCCTTCATCAGTTTTTGAATGACAGATGGTAAAGCACTTGAGAACCTTATATAAATGAAATCTTAAACTGTTTTAAGAATTAGCCCAAAACAGAACTGACATATGAACTATGAAGTTTGCGATAAAACAAAACCTTAAGGGCTAGAATGGTGTTAAACGTGCCTTTGGTCCTTACCGTCTCCTGGCAGTCCTGAAGGAACATTCTCAGTGCTGGGGTGCTCCTGTTTGCTGGGCCCTGCTCTCAGCAGTGCTCCCTGGAGTGCTGCAGCGATTCGTGGCCTAGAGACTTCGAGAGATCCACAAGTAGAATTCACAAGCTCAATCCAGGATGATGAGGGGGGGAAATGGCACTTTATTTTTACTAATCTCTAAAATTTAGCATCCCTTTCTATTGGGAATATAGGCTACAGACTATAGTATTAATAGACTATTTGTTTCAGATATCTTATATTTGTTTCCGGACATTGCAAATTGCAGTTAGTTTTAGTCTTACCCCCGATCTTATTATTGAATGTGCTAAGAAGTTTATAGAATACTATATCAAGCTGATGTTTTTCATGTTTTGGAAACACCATTTGTAATTCTAGTTATAGTATATACTTCGAGAACCCTACTGGCTTCACCACACTTCCAGAAAGGTGTATGGAACAAAAATGTTTAAGACTTCTTTGAAACTGAAATTGAGTTCCACAGATAAACAATTGTACAAACCATAAAACTTTAGAGCTTTGAAGGAGCATAGACATGGCCAAGTTCAGCCTAAAGAAACCCACTGATGCTAAACAATTCATATAAAAATCAAAGCTGAAAACAGCATAGCATTTAGCTGGTACAGCTGTGGGACTGCTGCATAAATGTAGTCTTTAAAAAATCTTAGAACAGTATTTCAGCCACAGGATTCTGTATGACTTTCTCCTGTTTTTATTACATTTCTTTGTAGTTTAAATCATTTGATTTTGTCTGTTATTTTATGAGAGTTTATAATAAAAGTTTCATTTTTGTGACTTATATTTAGATGCTTCTTATAATTTAAAAATTTTTTAATTGGATTTATTTTAAAAGGCTTCCATTAAAGACAAGTGTAAGTGAAATGTAATGCAAAGTGAGCGTGTATTGAATCTCTCTATAAAGTGTTTTATGTCACGTTGTACATGGACATAAAAAACAAAGCATCCTTCCATATTCTTATATAATCTTACCGTGACATTAAAGGGTAGTGGATGTGTATGTCAGTATTATATATATAGTAAATCAAATGTGGTTTAATGTAATCTGTTTATTCCTATAGTCTTCATATATTTTATAATACTTTGGAATCATTTGTGAAAATCTTAAAAAGAATACTAAATAGTGTTTATGTTCTTAAAGCCTTGCATTATAATTAATGACAGTTTTAATTTTTATTGATATCCATTCTTTTTTAGCTTAGCATACCAGAGGATGAGCTGGGAGGCCCTAAAGAAGTCAATCAATGGTCTTATCAACAAAGTCAACATTTCCAATATAAGTATTATTATCCAAGAGCTTCTTCAAGAAAATATAGTCAGAGGAAGGCAAGTATTAGCCATTTTTATTGTATTTCATAGGAATTTATTGCATTTGATAGTAATTTTTCAAAGAAACATCTACATGAGCAGTAATTGATTCATGTTAAAGGGAAATAACTACTCACTGCTAAAGATTTTGTGGAAGTTTTGCTGAGAAGCTTGGATGTCACATGATTTTGCACAGACATTTGTTTACTGAATACCTCCAATAATTTCAATCCAGAAGGAGTAATGAATATTAAAATATACTACCTCAAACCAGTTTAATGTCTTGAAATTTACATCAGTGTAAATTGTACAGGTAAAAATTATATTTTTGTGATGTACAACGGGATCTTTTGATATATGTACACATTGTAGAATGGCTAAGTCACACTGTTTATTTTATTACCTCACATGCATATTTATTATTGTTATGAGAGCTTTAGCCCTTTTCACATAATGTGGTGTTATTAACTATAGCAGTGATGGCGAACCTTTTAGAGACTGAGTGCCAGACTGCAAGCCAAAACCCACTTACTTATTGCAGAGTGCCAGCACTGCAGTTCAACCCTAATACTGAGGTTTCAGTTTAGGAAAAACAACTCTACAGCAACATGTTTGTCTTAAAAGAAAAACATAGTAACCCATGTGCCATCGATGTACCACCACTGAACTACAGTCACCGTGGTGCACAGTAGATCTCTTGAGCTTGTTCCTCCTCCTGATGAGCACCATCTCCTTGATCCTCCTCTCCAGCCTCTGGTACACTTCCATTTTATTGTTTTTTCTGTAACTTCAACTTTCTTAGGTGCCACACATTAGGGCTGTAAAAAGATACTTGTTTTTCTGCTTTTGGCTTACGTATCTTAATAAAGTATTCTCTTGATGCATTCATACTGTAAGAACTGACAGGATTTTCTTCTTAAGGCTGAATAATTCCATTTTTCTATATGTATATTTATACAACATTTTCTTTATTCATTTCTCAGTGGACACTAAGGTTATTCCGTTGGCTATTGTGAATAACACTGCAACAAATGATACATGTTTCACATAATATTTTCTTATCCTTTGGATATACACGCAGTGGTGGTATTGCTGAATCATGAGAGTTCTAGTTTACTTGTTTGGGAGAACACACTGTTTTCCATACTGGCTGGACTAATGTATATTCCTGTTTATGCTATATCAAGGTTCCCTTTTCTCGTTATCCTTGGCCATACTATATGCCCTTTTACAACAGCCGTTCCAGTAGATGCAAGATGATACCTTACTGTGGTCTTAATTTACATTTCCCGATGATCGATGATGTTGAGCATTTTTTCATTTAACGTTTGATCCTAGGTAATGTCCTCTCTTGAGAAATGTCATTTAGGTCTTTTGCCCATTTATTAAATTGAGTTATACTGTCACTTCTTTGAGTTCCTTATATATTTTGGATATAATCCCCTTGCCAGATGTATGTTTTGTTTTCATTCTCTCAGCCATCTCTTGATTCCATTGGTTGTTTCCTTTGCTGTATAGAAGTTTTCAAGTGATCTGATCCCATTTGTCTATTTTTGCTTCTCTTTCTTGTGTGTTTAGGGTTGTATCCAAAAAGTCATTACCCAAACCATTATCATGGAGCTTTACCCCTAGCAGTTTTACAGTTTTTGGTATACTTAAGTCTTTAATCCATCTTGAGTTGGTTTTTATATATGGTATAAAATTAGGATCTGTTTTTATTCCTGCATTGAGAATCTAGATTTTCTGTCATGATCTATGGACCAGACTGTCTTTTCCCTATTATGTGTTTCAACACCTTTGTCAAAAATCTAGTGGCTGTAAATTCATAGATTTATAGCTTTCTGTTCTGTTCTCTGTTAGTCTCTGTGTCTGTTTTAGCGTGTGCCATTTTGTTTTGATTATTACAGTTTTGTTCTAGATTATAAAGTCTGGTAGAATATACAGTCTTTTTGCTAAAGATTTGACTCTATGGAATCTTTTCTGCTTATATGAATTTTAGAATTTTTTTCTATTTTTGTGAAAAATTAAAATTTTGATAGCCATTGCATTGAATTTATAGGCTGCTTTGGGTAGTATGGACATTTTCACAAGATTTATTATTTCAATCCATGAGCATAGGCTAACTTTCCATTTATTTAAGTATGGTTTCATTATACACCTCTCACCTCATTAGTTAAATTTAATGCTAAGCTTTTGTTGTTGTTGGGGTGCTGTTATAAAGGGGAATATTTTTATTTCTTTTTTGGATAGTTTGTTGTTAGCTTCTAGAAACAAAAGCTACAAATTTTCGTATCCTGCCACTTTCCTGAACTCATTATCAGTTCCAAGGCTTTTTCATGGGTTTTTAGGGTTTTCTGCAGGTAAAATCATGTCTGCACACAGTGACATTGGAACTCCTTTTCAGATTTGTATTGCTTTTGTTTCTCTTGTGGAATTTCTCTGGCTAGGGCTTCTGGTACAGTACTGAGCAGAAGTCATGAGTGTGGGCATCCTTGTCTTGCTCCTGATCTTCGAGGAAAAGTTTTAAGCTTTTTACCATTAAGTACAATGTTAGCTACAGGCTTGTCATTGTAGTCTTTATTCTGTTTTAATTTCTAATGACAGTGAGAAGGGGAATAGGAAAGATGAGCAGTGAAAAGGAAGCAAAAGGTCATCACTTACCGTTTTCTATTAGGTTTTATGCCGTTGTTGTTGTTTTTTTTTAATTTAAAAAACAGAAAACATCCTATATCTAGTACTTCAAAATCTGGGGGCTATTTTCCATTGTCATGTCACATTACCCTGATTTATCATCTTAGAAAAAGCAAAAATGAAAACCTGAGGTGATAAATTAAGTATAGCATATTGTACAGATATGAAAAGTTGATCAAGAGAAGATGTCCACTGTCCTCAAAGACAGGCAGAGCCCTCCCCATGTTAGACAGAAAATAACAGAGTTAGAGCGTTTGAAGGATTATTTACAGTCTCATAATTTATAGGCTAGGTTCACTTTCATTCTCATACCTAAACCTAGTTCGTAAGATTTTCCCTACCTTTTCACAATCCAATAATTATTTGTCATTATATTTCAAAAAATAACTTGAGTTACTTCATCTTGTATCTCCCTTTTCTCATCAATATGCATATAAAAATGTGACCAATTTGAAGTGTTGAGTAGGTGTCTTTTATTTTCCTGTCATTATTTAAATTTTGCAGTGATTATCTTATGCTTATTTCTATAGGAGTATTCCAGACCTTTTTTACTACTCTAAAATTAAACTTAGGGATGAAAACAGCGAAAATTTGTTTTTAATCACAAAATTATTTTTATATTAGTGATAGACCTACAGTTGAAACTTTGTGTTTTCTGGATTTGGTACTTTAGCTTCACTTTTTTGAAAGTGTTGAGTATTATTTTTGTGAACTTTTTAAAATCCTGAAATTCAGGATTAGGTATAGCAGTAGGATTGGGATCAAAGGAATTATTTGGAAAGAGAAAATCTTAGTAAGAAAATTGTTGTGAGGGGCTGGGGATTTAGCTCAGCGGCAAAGCGCCTGCCCGGCAAGCACAAGGTCGTGAGTTCGGTTCCCGGTACCGGAGAAAAACCAAAAAAAAAAAAAAAAAAAAAAAAAAAAAAAAAAAATTGTTGTGAAATCTCATTCTGTTGTACAAATGCACAAAATCAAATTTTGTTTTCTCAAAAGCATTTTTATTTATTAGTAGATAAACTCATTTCCTACATAGAGTAGTAAAACTTTAGTCCTTACTTAGCTATTATGATTGTTTACAAGGAATAATGTTACTGGATTTTAAATATCTTCTCCTAGTTAAGTTGTTTTTTGCTCCTTTTTATTCTTTTTAAACAGAGGACTGCTGTCCAGATCTGTTTTACAAGCACAGAGTGCGTCTCCAATCTTCACGCATGTTTATGCAGCATTGGTGGCAATTATCAACTCAAAATTTCCACAAATTGGAGAATTAATCCTCAAGAGGTTAATTCTTAATTTTCGAAAAGGCTATCGAAGAAATGATAAGGTATATATGAATGGCTTAGTAAGTAGACTGTGACATAGGGGTAGACCAGCAAACCAGTGTCGACAAAAGTAAGCAATGCAGATTTCTGTGTAGGAATGCTTATTAAATACTGTACTTCACAGTAATTTTTGTTGTTCTGTTGCATATGCTCTGGCCACTACTGAGTGCTGAGCCTGATAGCTATTACTGTAGACCAACGGTTACATAGTATTGGCACTATTTCACATTACTTTCATTAAAATTATCTTCGTGTGTTACTGTTTTAAGAGTGTCTTAGTAGATTCTGTAGAAAAATGAAAATTGGTTTTAGTATGTGGATTAACTTTGTGCTTACTTTCATTTTTCAGCAACTTTGTCTGACTGCTTCAAAATTTGTGGCACATCTTATTAACCAAAATGTGGTAAGAAATTAACATCCAAATGTATTCCTGTTCATTGGCATTAGGCCATGGGCTTGATGCCGCTTGAGTGATACATCTGTTTTTGTTTTGATTTATAGTACTTGGCAAGTACTGCTAATATTTTAATAAATGCATCTATTATTTTTAAATAGAGCAGTCACAATAATTTTAGGTATTTCTTCAAATTGATCTAACTCAATACCTGGTGACTTGACTACAAAGGAGTTTTTCAAAGGATGCAATCCAGTCCTTTCCTAAAGCAGTGAAGGTTCTATCTTCACTCTTCTCTCTATGCCTGCTATTCCTGAGACCCTAATAAGTAGCTGGAGAAAACTTCAGCCTTCCAGCTACATAGATACAGTCCTGTGTTTTTAGTGAGTTTATAAAATATAGGGAATTAATTTTAATCTTTTCAAAATGCAAATAGCTTTACTTTTTCCACCTCTTTCTCTATACCTGGCATTCATGAGAACCTAAGAAATCTTATTCACTGTTCTACCAAAAGAAGGAAATAACTCTGCCTTGGAAATAGATATTTATATATTATAGTAAATTAAATAATTTTAGTGTTTTAAGTGCAGATAACAGGTTTTTTATTTTCTATTCATCTGCTATTTTGTTGGGTTCAATTTAATTTCTGTCTAATCTTGAAAAAGTATAAAATTTTTTGTTTATACTCAAGGGTGTTTTTCAGTTATATGTTATATATTATCATTTTTAATGTACTAGCTGCATATGAGAAGAATTTTGAAGTTATACTGAGTTTTTTTTGTTAAAATTTTAATTCTTCTTTCTAATGTCTATTCTTAGAGATCTTTTAGATTTTAACTTATCATATTACAAAGATAACTTACTATTCAAGCCTGTGGAAATTTAATTTTACATACCTGTAATGGCAGAGGTGTTTCTGGTTTACATAATGTGAGTGATGTTACACTTACATTAGAGAGTTCTGGTATTACATAAAACAGTTAAACAGCATTTTGCCTCTTCCCTACTAGGTACAGGGCAGCATTTTCTTGTTAGTAATGAAGGTATTTTGACAGCCCTTCTCCGACCACAAGATGTTCAGACTGTTTTTGATGTTATGCATAGTGTGAAGAAGATATTATCCTGAGTTGAGATTTGGACTTCTTCCCTCTCTGTCTCAAATAAGTGTCTGAGCTACAAAGGCATTTGGATAGCATTTTGAACATTCTTCTACTTTATTTTCTTCTCACAGTAGAGCTGCTCTATAGAAATTTATTCCCCACTGTACCTGGCACTGTATATAAATATTAATTTTTGAACATGGCCATGTAGTTTGTGTTCACTTAAAATGAATATTCAAAGCTGTTGCTGTTATCAAAAAATTGTTATTTTGTGATAAAATTAACAGGAAAAGAGTAGTATGAAAAGAATTGTATTACTATTCCATATTTATGGATTATTGAAATAATTATCATTAATAATTAGTGCATGATTTTTAATTTATAGTTTGAGTTCATGGCATTTCCTTTATGTAGTATCTAGAATATTTTTTCTGAGGGTAACTCAAATAATTATATTCAGTATATAGTAAGTTAAGATTTTAGGATAATTTGTAAATTCTTAGTGGACACATAATGAAAGTGTTGATCCAGATTTCTTTTTTTTTTTGGTACCGGGAATCGAACTCAGGACCTTGGATTTGCCAGACAGGCACTTGTGCCACTGAGCTATATCCCTGGCCCCAACACATAACGAAAGTGATAGAAAAATTGTATCATATGAGCAAAACAGGTTTACTAATTTTTTAAATTACCAACAGTAGGATAATACACAAAAAAAATTTGCTCTCTTCCATATCTCTGCATTCTTCGTAAGGCACATGAAGTTTTATGCTTAGAGATGCTCACTTTGCTCCTGGAAAGACCAACAGATGACAGTGTTGAAGTGGCTATTGGTTTTCTCAAGGAATGTGGCCTCAAACTAACACAGGTGTCGCCAAGAGGCATCAATGGTCAGTGTATACTCTTGGTTCGTTTATACCTACATATTTTTATTAGGGAATTGTGGACTATATGGCTTACTTTATTGTTTTTGCATTTAGCTATCTTTGAACGCCTCCGAAACATTCTGCATGAATCTGAAATTGACAAAAGAGTTCAGTATATGATTGAAGTGATGTTTGCTGTGCGGAAGGATGGATTCAAGGACCACCCGGTCATCCTAGAAGGACTCGACTTAGTTGAAGAAGACGATCAGTTCACCCATATGCTCCCTTTGGAGGATGACTATAATCCAGAAGATGTCCTTAGTAAGCCTGGGGAGTGAGGGGTAAGAAACGGGGCACCAACAGATAGAAATACAGAAAATAAACACAACTTTTCATTTATTTTTTTAAGATGTTTTCAAGATGGATCCTAATTTTATGGAGAATGAAGAAAAGTACAAAGCTATTAAGAAGGGTATGTAAAATTTTATATAATAATTTATTTTGGATAAGTAGAAAAAAATTGGGATAGTTATATAACACCGATAGAAAGGACGATATATAGTTTGCAGGTCCTGACCCAGTGAAATCTGCTCTTGTGCAGCTCTTCTCTTCACTGTTGCTTTATGTGTTATTTTCCCTTGTAGAATGTACTTGTGGTTTACTTCATTCTGAGTGACTTTGTCATCGCTCTCTTCTCTTCCTCTAGTTAAGGTATACAACTCTTAAGTCTCCCCACTCTTTAGAAATATTCAGATTACCAGTGACCCTTACTTCATTTCTTTATCAGTTACAGTCTGCGCCAGTTTGATACTCAGTGTATTTGTTATACTTTATTGTAAAGGCTATATGCTTTATTATCTCTTGAAGTCAGGTAATATTCTAATAGCCTTAATCACAATATTTGTTGCCTCATAACTTGGTAAATTGATAATAATTATTTGTGCATGTTGTTAGTGCTGTATAAGCAATAACTTCAGACAAATTCTGGTTTCTGTTTTTCTTGACATTACTAACTAAATGACCTGGAACAAGTTACTTGTTTGATGTAAGAGTAAGTGTTACTTGTTGCTAGAAGGATAAAGAAAATGTTTTATATGTGCTTTATATTGCCAGAGAAGCAGTCAGACAGTGATAATTATTATTACTATTGGTATTTTTTTCTTAAAGTTACTATCTCAGCCTACTTAAACTAGCTCTTTGAGTTCATTTTCTGGGAGCTGTGATGCTGCTTGAGCAGTCTTCACTGCTGTGGAAGCTCCTGAGAAGAGAGAGCAGAAGCACACTTGGTCTTTGCCATTTCCTGTGCTATAGTACCCTAAAACTGTGGTACAATATGCAGGTTCCTCTTCTAGATGCTAATTTCTTCGTAGCACTTCACTGCCGCTGGCCAGATTCCTTTGTTGTGTTTTCCAAACAAGAACTCCTTAAGCCTATTTTGCATTCTTTTCTTATAAACTTCTTTTTCTATAGTGTCCCTAAAAGGTGCCAAATGGTTTTTCTGAAATTATTACACCTAATAGGATCTCTTTTTTAAACTTGCAAATTCACTATCCATTTCCTTAAGTCCAGGCAGTTGGCCAATACCTGGAATACAGTACTTTATTACAGCAGTTCTCAAATTCTTTGGCCTAAGATCTCTACTTAACACTTGAAAATTATTGTGAACTCTAAACAGCTTCTGATTATGTGAGTTGTGTCTATTGACATTTTCTGTTTTAAGAAATTAAACCTGCAAATTTAAAAGAATAGTAACTCATGTCAAAATAATGTAAAACTAGTGCATATTAATATAAATTACATTAATATAAATTACATTTTTATGCAGATAATTATAAGACTAAGAAATTTCATGAGAACGGCCTATTCTAATTCACTGTCTAGCCTCATATAGATATCTGTTAGAAATGGGAGCAGTGCTTTTATATCTTTTCAGATAGATAAATATATTCTTGATATTACACCAATATTTAACAATAAGTCGTTTCTAAGATTAATTTTGCTTGAAATCTAAAATAACAACAATGGATTTTCATACACTGTTAGATTAAAATCCCTTGGTATGTCACTTTCAGTAGCTCTTAAAGCCAGGCATGGTTCTGTAACATGTTGAATTAGTCATTTAGAAAATGCTGATTCACTGAGTTATGCACATCTTCTAACTGTTAATACATTAACATTATCAGAGTCAGATTAACATGTAATACACTATCAAGAAATCACATTTGTTAATATTACCACCAGTCTCATCAGAAAAACCAAGCTCAAAAGAGTGGTTTCAGGTTTCCAAAACTGAAATTGTTTCATGAAAATTTGAATTTTTTTCATGGTGGCAAATTTACTGTTTTCTTTGAGGTGACACTTTGTTTACATTTGTGAAAATGTCCGCCAGATGCCTAAGAACTATATATTTGTATATTCATTTTTTTAAGTACCAATTTCTAACAGTAGCTCATTCGTCATGCAAGTCAGGCAGCCACTCCAGGCCTTGTCTTTAAGGTCGCCGTCATCCCTGCACGTCTGTACTTAACAGTACTGCATATGTGAACTTGCTGTTTTGTCACTCAGATTCAGGTAAAGGCCTAGTCTCAAGAAATGAGATTTAATAAAATTAACGTTTTATGTGTTCATCAAGGACATTTTAAGTGGAATGGCTTTTTCTAAGTGCAAGTGTGGCGGTAAGGATGCATTGCCTGTTAGTGCAGTTTGGAGTCTTAATTTGTGCTTGGTTTAGTTTTAACCCCCACTGCTTTGAATAATCATCACAGATATCAACACAGTGAAAAGCCATATAATGCGCAGGGATTATCAGGAAAATGGTTTTGTCCTCACAGACCACCTGACAGTGCTCAGAGATCCCCCAAGGACTCACAGACCAATCTTTGAAACCACTGCCATACTCATTTAATGAAATCCACTTGTCATTGCCAAAGTGATTTCAATAAGTAGATTCTAAAGTGGACAGAATAGAAGAGGATGATGTAAATGACTAGACAATTCATTTGACCTTCATTCTTTCAGAGAATGTTGTAGAGTTGGCATTTAAAAAAATGGCCACAGCAGGAAATGAGCACAGCTTTAGTAATTAGCACCTTAGAGTGACCCAGGTGTACTTGTGTTTTAGGCTTACAGCATTTGGGAAAACAGCAGGAGTGCCTGTCTTCCTACTATTGAATACTAAATAATTCCTACTTTAAAATCTGTCTGAACTATGTTGCATAATAAACTACACAGTTCAGATTATTTTTGAAGGCACATTTGTTAGAAATGTGCTTAAGGAGACTATATATTAGATAAGGGCGAATGAACAACTCAGCCTAAAAATGAGTTCTCCCAAAAACTTCATATTAAGAGCTTACTGGTTATAACTGTGATGCAAAAGTAAAATGTTGGCCAGGTTTGCAAAATTTCTTTTCAGGTTAACAGAATCTAATTAGGCAAAGACTAATTTTTTTAGTTCTTCTCCTTTGTTTACTGTTAACATAAGGACTGTCTTGATGTAGTCTTTTATAAAAACCACTGTTTTCAGCTCTTTCTAAATATGGGCTATATTTCAAGAAGGAATAGCCCAATAAAGTGATATTCTTTCCGATCTTCTTAGACTGTTAAACTTTTTAGTTTTATATATGAAAAATCTTTGCCTTGATTGTAACTTTCAGTGTAATAAGTATACATAGTAATAAGGATATCACTGCTATGTATCTAAAATGTAGGTAAATTATGCAGGTACTCTGCCTTTGTCTTTCTAAGTACATTCTTATACTAAATTTCTGTCCACTGGCCCTGTATCCATCCTTAGTTTTTCATAATAGATTGTCTTCTTTCTTGCAATGAGATAAAATTAGCACTTCCAAGTGCTAGCTCCCTTTGTTTTTTCTTTTTTTTTTTTTCCAGTGCTCTTACTCTTTGGAAAACCTTTATCTACTTTTCCTTTGTTCTTTTCATCACGTCCTTGTTTTTCATGGCCACATTTTAGGGGACAGAAAAATGATACGTGTGACTCTCCCTAATTAAATAGGTTGTAATGTTTGATGACCAGCTAGTCAGTGACAGGAGGCTGGTATGTTTTGCTGCACTGAGACACAATATCTGACACCCAAAACAGAAGAAGAGAGGTTTAATTTGCTTAGGGTGTCTTTACAGTCCTTGGAGTCTGAGGGCCTAAGGTGGAGACTTACTGCTGGAAGGGTACGGCGGCTCAGAACTGCTGAGGTGATGGTGGGTGGTGGGGAAGCAGAGCAGGGGCCTAGTGCCAGAGTGGACGGGGTGAGGGGCCAGATGTAGACCCCAAGGCCACACCTTCGGGACTCAGCCAGACGCATCCTAGAAGTGTGCTGTGTCTGTCCCTGGGCGATCCTAAAGTCAGTCAAGCTGAACTCCACTCTAACCTCCATAACTGGCAAATCCTTCTAACACCATGGGTTTCACTGAACCGGGAATTATCTTCTCAGAGTAAGACACATGGACGTCATTTGCCCCCATTAATTTTTTTTCCCTCAACCTCCTCTCTCTCACAGAAATACTTGATGAAGGAGATAGTGATTCAAACACAGACCAAGATGCAGGAAGTAGTGAAGAGGAAGAGGAAGAAGAGGAAGAAGAAGGAGAAGAAGATGAAGGTAAAGTTGTCGCTTGTTCAAGTAATACTGTAGGATACTCTGCAATTTATTCTCATGTAATATTGTCCATGTTTCTCAGACTGTTAGAGGGCTTGGGAAGGTGGTTCTCGCACCCAGTGAGAGGAGACTGAGGGTACTGTTAAAGACCCTGCGAGTCACAGGACGGCCTGCCACCAAGTGTTAGTACAGGTGCCAGTGCCAGCGCTGCCGAGAGTGAGGATTGTGCTGTGAAAGTGTTAGGCAGGAAAGTGCGCTCTCGAACATCAGCATAACTTCAGTTTGCATTTTATATCTTCGAGTATATTGGGAACAAGAGAACGGGTCCGTGCATGTTGAACGCGTGTGGTTGATATAACCCTGGCAATAATGTGGATGAGTAGATATTTGCTATTCATTTGCCAAAATAGGGTGGGGAGCCAAAAGCTGTATTTATATAGCGGCAGGCATGATGCTCTTCCTCTTCAGCTTTGATTGCATCATTTCACAGAGAAATAAGCTTAGAATTTTACGTTGGTCATACTCAGGAAATACGTCAGAACATATGTAGACTCATTATTTATGTGGATTATATATTTGAAAATATTGAAAGGGTATCTTTTAAGACACTGTATTTTATTTTAGTTCTATCTTATAGTGTAGTAGTTGTTCTATAACAACGTTAAAAAAAGTTTTTTCCTCAACATTTTATTAAAATCATCTAATTATCCACATACTACTATGTTTTACTTTAAAATTTTCTTTTTTTATATGGAAATACTGAGGAAATATGTGTAAGGAAACCTTTCATGCATTCGATAAGGGAAATTTTTGAGAAATATAAACATATAATATGGACTCATTCACAGTCCAGTGATTATTGAGTAGATCCATTTGTAAACTGAGTTTCTGCTTGTAATTATTAAAATATTTATAAATTTAGAAATGATACTTTCCTAAACAAAAGTATTACTACAGCCTTTTATAAACTTTTCTTTTTTTCTTTTTAAGACAGAATTTCACTGTTCAAGTTAGGCTGGCCTTGAACTCACTTTGTAGCCCAGGCTGGCCTTGAACTTGCAGTGATCCTCCTGCCTCAGCCTCCAGAGTGCTGGGATTACAGGCATGTGCCACTATGCCCGGCTTTATATAGTATTTAAATGAGCAGGTTGTACACAAAGAAAACTAGTTTTCTTGGCTAGGTTCTAGATTTTGAGCTAATCAAATGATATGGCAAAAGACTTGAAGTTATCTTTAATTCTGTAAATACTAATTTACATAGTATAAAGGAGTGTTTCTGTTATTAAAGCTGAGAGACTCTAAGTAAATGTACGGAAAATATGCAGAGATATATTTCATTTCTTCATGTTTGTTTTTTAGTTCTGTAATTAATTTTTTTTTTTTTTTTTCAGGACAAAAAGTAACAATTCATGACAAAACAGAAATTAACCTAGTCTCATTTCGTCGTACCATATACCTCGCTATTCAGTCAAGGTGAGACACCAGAGCTTAGTTGTGTGTGTTTGTTTGCTTGGTAAGCAAAGGATAAGGTAATCAAGGGTGCAATTTAAAATCCGCTAACAGATTTTAGACAGCATTTCAACCTTCTTTGTTTACTTACCTCTCTACCATTCTGTGTCAAAATTCTTAGGTCCACACTTGACTCTTAAAGAGTGAATTATCTCTACTTATTTGGGGGTGTAGTTGTATTACATAGTTAAATGATGGTTTTTGTTTTTTAATCTGTCATTTCTTATACTGAATACTAACAACACCCTGAAAATAACTCTGTATTAAAAACTAACAGAGAAGCACTATTATGATGACTTTGGGATGTTGATTTACTGTGCAGGGGGAATGAATGTAAATGGAATAGAAATTAGACATGGGAAGGTTTCAAAGACCCTTTGATGTAGTATCAAGTAAGAATTACTATGACGGTATGAAAACAACATCTATTTTCTTTGAAGTCTGGTTTTGAAGCTCAGCAAATGAGAGTGTTGCGTGGTTATGTTTGCCCATTTTGTGTGCATATCAACCTATTGATTTACTGCACACATGTTTACATTTTACACTGGGGAGTATTTTCTTAGGTTTGTTTTGGAGCTACGTTCTGTATTTTTCCATTAGTGTGATGTCATAGCAATAATGATTCATAAGTAGGAGTCATCTTGTTTTCATTCTGTCTGAAACTTTTTGGCTTTAGATTCATCTTCAAATAGAGGACATTATATAGTAGAACATTGGTTAGAGTTGTTTTGGTTTATCCTTACCTATTTCTTCTCCTTTCACATGAAAATAAAACTTAAATTTTTTTTCATATAACCTTAATATAGAAGATGATACATTTTATTATAGGTATATATGCTTAAATAGAGTTTGACCTGTCATTTGTTTGTCCTTTTAGAAAAACCCAACAGTAATACACGTTTGAGAAGCAGATTTACTATTCTAATGTTGCTATTAACATTAATTTGGAGAAGTCACAGTAGAGCGCTTTCAATAATTATTTACAAGAAAGCCTTTTCTGTTAAGTTAACCTTAATTGTAATCTCTGAATCACAAAAAAAGATTCAAAAAATGAAAGCCCTTTGTGGTGGTATCCATCCTAGTTGCAGTACCTACCACCCACCTTATATATTAGTATTCGTTGGGTTCCGGCCCCTAAATGTCTAGTTGAAAAAGAAGAATGACATATGACAAAGGTTGCTATTCTTAAAACTTCATATATTAGAGAAGAAGCACAGAAGAGTTCAGTAGACAAGTGCTTAAAGGGCGTGGCTGCATGCTCACTTTGGCGCTGCGCTTGTTAAAGGACTTGGATGGGAGATTTGTATAATGATGAAGAAAAACATGATAAAAATGTTAGTAGTCAAGTATCTGTGCAAAGAGGTCCTGTTATTGGTTATTAATTTAGCTGAGGTGGCTTAGTTTTTTTAAGGCAATGTTATTCAGTCTTGATTTGTGAGGTACAAATATTATTGGTGGCAAATATTGTTAGCTTTTTTTAGTTAAATCCTTTATGGAACAACTTTTTGAAATGTGTGTCAGGGGCTTATTATCCATGACATTTGACTCTTTCATTTTTATATTTCCCAAAGAAATATTGATAGAGAATTATATACAGAATTGTTCAGTGTAAAAAATGGAGACAATCATTGTCTAAGATAAACAGTCCAAATGTTCACTTTCTGCTACCATTGAAAATTAGGTTAATGGTGATATGTTATAAATTTGGGCAGATGGTCTGATAGAGAACTGTGCTATTCCAGCCTAGACAACTTAGTGAGATTCTTCCTGAAAATTGAAAATATAAAAATAGCTGGGACTTTAGTGTGAAGGCCCTAAGCTCAATCCTCATTATAAAACCCCTCCCCCCCAAAAAAGTTAGCAAGTACTCTGCCACTGAGGTACATCCACAGCCTGTATTTTGTTTTGTTTTGTGTTTGAAACAGTGTCTCACTGTGTAGCTCATGCTAGCTTTGAATTCATTATGTAGTCACTATGCCCTTGAACTCACTGAGATCCTCCTGCCTCAGCCTCCCAAGTGCTGTGATTACAGGCATGCACCACCATGCCTGCCTATTTTTGTTTTGTTTTTAGACAGACTCACTGAGTTACCTAGGCTAGCCTCAAACTTGAGCCTCCTGCCTTGGTGGTCTCCTGAGGCGTATGCTGCTGCACCTGTACTTTATCGCATATATGACTTTTTTGCAGAAATTTCAGGGTTTTTACTGAGTATTCTCCTTTTTTTTAAGTAAACTAAAGAAAAATTCACATCTTTCTAAATTTTTGGTATCGTTGTATTGAGTCTGTCAATGTTAAGTGTTCTTTGTAATTTAAACTATTATAAATCTCTTTCCTGTAAGTTTTTTTTATTTTAGTTTTCTTTTTCCATTGTCTAGTACTGTCCTGCGTTTTTGTCTGGTTATACTTATGAAATCTAGTAAGTAAATAGAATGAAATGAAATGAAATCTAGTAAGTAAATAGAATAGCTGAGAGATAAATAAACTGCAAAACTATATTCATAATCATATTTCAGTATATGATTTCATACTGCTGATCTTGAATGAGGACCTGAGCATTCTACATGTATAAAAGCTGCAGATATGTCACCCTTTTTCTGGAATCAAATTCACATTCAGCTTCTCCATTCCTGTAGACACGTGGTACATTGAAGATACTTAAATTCGTCCATATGAATGTTATATAAAAACATGTTTTTTCCTTACAAGTTACTGTGATTATTTACTGTTTTATACTTATTTTTTATACGTTCTGTTTGGGTGTAAACTAAGACAACGTATAAAAGTGGTGATTAAGGGCTTGATGCCATGCTGGGCTCTGGAGCAACTTTGAGCTCTTCCAAAACTGGATCAGGGAGAAGTGGAAATACTTAGTAGTGTAGAAAAATGTAAAAAGTTTGCAGTATCTAGTAAAAGCAGATGGAGGTCCAGTACAGTAGAACATTTATTCTCCCATGCTGAGATTTTAATGTAAGCATGAAAAATTTGACTTATATTTGCTCTTTTCTTAATTAGAATTTTTCCCTCGTGTCTCTAAACGCATGATATGCATTTCAAGAAATTGCAGGGGCTGGGGATTTAGCTCAGCGGCAAAGCGCCTGCCTGGCAAGCGCAAGGTCGTGAGTTCGGTTCCCGGTACCGGAGAAAAACCAAAAAAAAAAAAAAGAAATTGCTTGTCATGTTAAATATTAAAGTCTTTTCACTGGGTGAGAAAGCATAAGCATACTTGTGTTCAGGTGTTGCTTTTGGGACCGTGTTTCTGGGAGTAGGTCTCACAAAACTTCTGCATCTTCGCCTGTCCTATATAAAATGAGAAGATTGAATCAATTGAAGTCTTCCTGAAATGCTAGTTATTTATGAAGTTCAATCAGCACTGCATCAAATGGATGTTTTTACCTCCAATTATTGTTACTAATTTAGGTGTGGATTTGTGACTGATGAGTAGAAATACATGTCTTCAAAATTCTAGCTGGATGTAAATATTTATGGATAAAGTGTTACAATTTTAAAGCTTTTATTTATCTTTTTGTTAAACATCCTACTGCTGTTTTACGTACGCTTTTGAATATAGGTATTGATATGTGGTATCTTCCTTAGATTTATTTAACAGTAAATGCAGAACAGAACAGCTAGCTTTCGTGAAAACATGGAGCACTGCAAAGTATTACTTGAGATCTGGGACCTGATTCCTTAGAATACTTAGATTTGTCCTCTAATACTGAATTATCAAACCAGAACATTTAATAAATTCTTCATGTTATAGTTACTGTGCTCCAGTATTCGAAGGAAAAGGTATTACTAATGCTTAAGAATTTACCACTGCTATATTTTAGTGGCCAATGTGGAGCTGAAGAACAGTTGATAAGCTTAGTATGACTGCATAAATGGAAAAAGCTTATTTATACACTATGTGTTCTATTATTACTTCACCTTAAAGTGAAGATCGTGTGTACAGCAAAAACCCTTTTATCTAACTGTTTACTAGTAGAGGTTGATTGGCTTGAGAGAATAATGAAATAATGCAGATCGGTCCTTTCTTTGCTAACATAAAATTCTCCTTTCAAGTAGACAACTGGATTTAGGACATTCACAATGTTGTGTAACTATTCAGAATATTTTTATTACTCTAAAACTAAATCTTTAGCAAAACCCTGTCAAAAAAGGCTGGGAATGTAGCTCTGAGAAGGCCTTGCATTCAGCCCCCCAATACCCCCCCCACACACACATATACAGAAACAACTAAAGTATCCTGTACCAATTACAAATACACCCTCGTTCTTTAATCTTCCTGTGTCTAGACTTACCTATTCAGAACATTTTATATAAATAGAATTGTTTATGTAGCCCTTATGTCTGGCTTCTTCTACAGGGTTCATCCATGTTGTGCTGTGTTAGTACTTCATTCTTTACAGAGTTAAGAGCTGTGTTTATTTTATGTATGATAAAAATAATGTGCAATTACAGTTAAAAGAGCTTATTCTAAATAATAGTAAAGTAATATTGTATGTAAAACAGTGTGTTGGTGCAAGCTGTTAACCTGTTATGACCATCTTATCTCCATAGTTTAGACTTTGAAGAATGTGCTCACAAATTGCTGAAAATGGAATTTCCCGAAAGTCAAACAGTATGTTAATACTTTTTTCTTATATATATTGATTATAGAGTATATATTGGTTGTAAAAATGTTTAAGGCAGTTGGTAGTTAAGGTTCATGAAGCGAAACAGTGACTCATTGTTAAATATTAAATGTAGATTATCTACAATTTGAAAGTAACTCAAAGCCCAGGAGCTCCGGGGAGAGTGGTTTCACATGTGCCGTTCACTCCAGTGAACTGAATTGTCCGTGGAACAGTACATTGGAAGAATACAGTCTCTGAAGCACTGCCCTTTATGTAGAGTTTCTGATTGGTTACCTGTAGCTCATATTGTGCCTTAAATTCAGTAGGAAGTTTATTTCATGGATAACCTGGTTCATTGTTTTCACCTACTAAAAGCATTCTGTGATAGAAATCATACAGGTTGCAGCACATGGTATTGCATTGCTTTAATTGACTGTAGAAGCATCTGCGTTATATTTTCATGCATTAGTTCATTTGACAAAAATGTATTCAGCATATACTGTGTGTCAGATGTTTTGCAAGGTATCTGGGACTTACTGGTCGATGAAGTGCATAGGGCCTTCTCTTAGTCCATGGATTTATTGTCTTATAACTTGGTGTTCTTCTCTATTCAGAGCGTCGCAGTCCTAAACCAAGGATTACAGACACACTGAACAGATTACCTTTTCTCGTTGTTGTTTTCCCCAGATGTCTTCTTGTGTGTGTTACTCGGTACCCTTGTAGATGTTGGGTCCTTGAAACCTGGACCAAGGTTTAGGTGTCTGTGTTTTTCACAGTTTGTTTTATATGCAACAAACTCAGCATAGAGACCGGAGTGACTGTGTTGGTCTCATAGCCTATTTGCTTTCTTTGTTGAAGGCTTTACATATGATCTGCTGTAGGCATTGGCAGACTGGCCAGCCCCGCCACGGCTGTTTTTAGAAATAACGTTTTAGTGGAATAAAGCCATGCTCATTCATTGATCTTTTCCCTCACCCCTGTGGCTGTTTTCACACCACAACAGCAGAATAAATTTTGACAGAAATTGTAGCCCTGTCATGTTTACTACCCTTCTTTTTTTGAGATTTTTTTGAGGTAGGGTTGTGTAAGTCACAAAATTGTCCAGGTTGGGCTCAAACTTTAGATCCTCCTGCCTCAGCCTGTCAGAGTGCTGGGATTCAGGCATATCCCACGACGCTCAGCTTATCTGGCCCTTTTATGGAAAAAAATTGCCAGTCTTTGTTACACGCTGTAGATTCACTCTTGAAATGTCACAGTGTGGAATTTTGAGAAAAATGTAGCCCTTTCAAATTTAAAAAAATACATTTTTTTCTTTTACAAAGTTTATTCAGTGGTATATTAATATGTATTTATTTATATACTCTGGCTGTAATTGACATGTCATCCTTGAAAGGAAATATATTAGTGAATTAACCTTTAAAATTACAATGGACATTGAAATTACTGTGTGGTCTTCTTACATTAATTTGAGGAATATAATTAAGTCATTATAAATTTTATTAATATTAATCCAGAGGGTAGTTGTTCTAGAACTAACCTCAATATATTTTGATAACATTTGGAAGTGTCTTAGTGCATCTATTTTCATGTACTCAAAAGACTCCTAAAATTGCTATAATATTTAATTGAAATGTTAAAATATTTAATTATTCTAAGCCATAGGGAGTAACTCTTATAATTGCTTTTAGCCTAGGGAAGAAAGTAATTTGTTTTGCAAGTAGTGCTGACAATTAGCAAGGCTCACGGCATATTACCATGTTTTATTGTTTAAAACCTGATTAACTGCTATATTATTATAAAACACAACACTGGTAGGAAAAAATGAAAGTGAACTTTAATGTATCAAGTTCATATAAAATGGCTGAATTTAAAAGCCCTCCTTTAGAATTTTCAGTACCATACAAAATTTTGACAAAGTATACTTTTTCAGAACTTGTGCATTTATGAGCATTTTATTTAATTGAGTTAACCTGCCACTGATGTTTTTTAAAATCTAGCAATATAATGGCTTCTGAAATTGCTCCTATGTTTGCAAGTGAAGGCTTTGAGTAGGTTGTTTCCAGGCATACCACCAGCTTCTAGGGCAGCAGTATTAGGACTTTCTGTAGTGATGGAAATGTATAAAGTCTGCAGTCTGCTGGAGTAGTGCCTAGTCACATGTGGCTTTTTAATATTGGAAATATGTAACTAAGGAAGTAAAATTTTAATTTTATATAATTGTAAGTAATACAAATTAGAAGCTCTGTTGAACTGTGTTATTCCAGAGTATTTGTTCAGTGCTTCTTGGGGGTTTCCATCCTAACTCTTGTCCTGAGATTTCACTCTGGAGTCCCTGACATAAATTGTTTATAGAAGTGTGTTTTTGTTTGTTTGTTTGTTTAACTTAGGTTGCATTTCTCTCATTAGCAATGCAAATGTCAAAATTGTTATGAAAAATATAAAATGCTTAAGATGCGGTATGTATCAAGTCCCCAAAATGATTGAAACTATTATGTGTCACAAACGTATACCACTTTTTTTAGAAAAAATTAAAATATAAAGATGAAAAAATAACTGGGGTGTACTATGGAATTTTTACATATTGTGTTGGTCAGTCTGTATTTAAAAGAATTCTACATAAAATTTTTTTAGGATACAGTATCTCCTTGATACATGTTTCGTATACTAGTTTTTTTGCACGTGGCTTATAATGAGATTAATTAGAATTTTAAAATAGCATGAATGGGTATAGATAGAAAAGCCAAACTAAAGACAATAAAAATTATGAACTTTTTTTATAAATTCATAAATTTTCAAAATATTTTTTGGGGGACAGTTTGAGAGATAGTCTTGGTTTGTAGTCCAAGTTGGCCTTGAGCTCACTGTGTAATCCAGGCTGGCCTTGAACTCACAGCAATCCTCCTGCTTCAGCCTCTCTAGTGCCTGGATTACAGCCATGCGCTACCATGCCTGGCTTTTCAAAATATTTTAAACTTACAAAAATGCATGCAGTCACTATCATGGGTAAATTATCATATAATATAGATTTATTCTGCTTTGAATGATTAATATTTTTTTTTTTTTCAAATAGAAAGAACTCTGCAATATGATACTTGATTGCTGTGCACAACAAAGGACATATGAGAAATTTTTTGGCTTATTGGCTGGGGTGAGTTCACGTCAAAGTTAATAGAAGTTCTAAGGAAATTCTTAACATGAATATAGTGAACTAATGATTCTGATTTGTGGTCTGATCTGATCTATCTTTGTTAAAAGGAAGCTCTCCCTCAGATTTCCCACTTTATTTAGCTTCCTTCTTTCCCACTTCAGTTTTGCAGTGCCTTAACTTTGTATATCATTCCCCGACACTGAAATTCTATCTACTTTAACAGTTTCTCAGTAGAAATCAATACTGCTCTTCAAAATCTCAAAACAGTTACCAAAGTCTGGAAAATGTTCAGGCAGTACAAGTAAAGCATTATCTAGAGTATTTTTAAATTCAGATTCTACACACAGGGTAGAAGTATATATGTCATATTACATAATTGGTGTATCTAGGATCAAGTACGTGTATAATTTTGTCATAGCCTATAAATCCAGGGAAGTAGGAACCATGTATATATAACTTCTTTTTTGAACATCATATAGCACAGAAAGATGTTGTGATACATATTTTTTGAAGTTATCCAAAATGCTTTTTGTGACTCATTAAAGAAGCTTAATATGCTCAAAAATTGTAGTGGCATTCAGTTTTTACTGGTATTGACATTCAGTTTTTTATTTATTAGCGATTTTGCATGCTGAAGAAAGAATACATGGAATCTTTTGAAAGTATATTCAAAGAACAGTATGATACCATCCATCGCCTAGAAACAAACAAGTTGAGGAACGTTGCCAAGATGTTTGCTCACCTCCTATACACTGATTCGCTTCCATGGAGTGTAAGTAGTTGGATCAGTATTTATACTTCCTTCCTATTCTCCTGTTACTCTCAAAAATGTGTCAGCTATGACTTGGCCATACCTATTCTACTAGGGAATGTGCACAAAAATGAAATATGTAGGACACTTTCATAGTTGCTACTTTTGAAGTTTTGTAACATAGGATCAAATAACTAAGTTACTAAATAATATACAAGTACATATAAGAAATGTTATTCTGGATTATGTACAGTCCAAATCACAATCCTGTTGCTTTTTTGTTTGTTTGTTTGTTTCAGGGTCTCGCTATATAGTTCAGGCTGGCCTTGAATTCACAGTGATCCTCCTGCCTTAGCCTCCCAAGTGATGGGATTGCAGGTGTGCACCACCACACCCAGCTCACAATGCTTTTTAGTAGTAGTGACTAGGAGTATTTTCAGGGAAAATGTGCTTTCATTTTTTGGGTGTACGTACACATGTGCGCACCCCTCATAGCACAAAGTAGAGACATGTGTTCCCCCATTTTGGTGGCACATACATGCCTGAATTACTGTCTCTGTCTCCTTAGAGAGTAACTTTCCATAGCTGCTCTTATTAGCACTCAAGAGAAATCATTGCCCAGCAGGATGTATTCTTTTAGACAAACCTTGACCTTGAGTAAGCAATGAGATTGTGCAGTCACAGAACAAGGAAAGGTGTTTTTGATTGGAAAATGTGCACTAGACTGGAATTTGAAAAATATTTATACACCTGGTATTTGTTGCACAGTTACTGTTTATCCCACCACCATTATTTAGCCACTGGCCATGTGCCCAGTTACAGGAGAGGTTTTGGCTGATGAGAATGAAACGTAGCCCTTGCTTTGAGAGATTACCATTTAAGCAAAGAGGAAAAATATATCTGTGACAATAATACAGATATAAAATGGTGGGTTATACGGAAAGCAGTGTTGCTAAAGGAATGTTTTTTCAAAAGAGGAAGCAGGAATTATACCGAGGAGTAGAGAGAAGCACTGCAGAGTACCCTGAGTGACGGTAGCATGAAGTAACATCCTTCATCTTATACACGTTGGACACTCTCGTTCATGAAGTACTAAGGCTTCGACAGTCATGGACATTTGTAAACTAACTCAGCAGCCTCTCTGTAATACTTTCTACTTCCTTATTTCCCCTGTTTGAGAAATAAAATTAAGTTTTAAACAGTTGATTAACAAATGGACTCCTATAACATGTGAGATTCATAAAAACTGGAAGTTACTTTTATTTTTGATTCCCTTAAAATACATTTTAATCTCTTGGAGATTTTTAAGCTATAATCTTCGTATTCAGAATAGCCGTCATTTTTTCTTTTATTTTTATTCTATAGTATATGTGCTACATGAAATTATACCTTAAAGCTATAAGTGGTGTTTGTCCCTGAACAAAATAGCACACTTTTAGCACATGTACATAAGTGAAATTTAGGAGCTAGTAATCTTGCTTCAGCATTGTAGACTCAAAGCAGAGTATCTTCCCCGTTATAAAAACCATATTTCGGGTCAGGGATATATAGCGCAGCAACACAGTGCCTACCTGGCAAGCGCAAGGTCCTGAGTTCGATTCCTGGTACAAAAAAAACCCACACATTTCTCAAGAAAGCAAATGAAATCTATTTCTTTAGGTTCTTAATATTTGAAAATTAGTATTAATAAGTAGTTTAAACTCTGCTAATATATGTGGGCATAAGGAAAAATATTCATAGAAAATTCTGGTTGAAGATGAAAATAAATCATAATTTCTTACAAACTCATTGGCCACTTTGTCCTCTTTTAATAACCAAAATAAAAATGTCTTTTTTGCTTTAATTTTCAGGTTCTTGAATGTATAAAACTGAGTGAAGAAACTACCACATCTTCTAGTAGAATTTTTGTCAAAATATTCTTCCAGGAACTGTGTGAATACATGGGTCTTCCAAAACTGAATGCAAGATTAAAGGATGAGTAAGTTCATCACTGAACGTATTTCGGTCTTGTGGGGGATTCCCCCCCTTTCACAGCCCTAAGACCACCTTGTATAAAACAAGAGTGAAGCCCCCCAAGCTCTTCTCCATGCGTTAGTTTACTCTGAGTCTCATGTTACAAGGCTTAGCGCGACATGCAGTGTTTCAGTGCTGGCTTTGGTACAGGTGGTGAGAACTCAGAGTTAATACCTCTAAGTTAAAACATCCAAAATTATTCCTGCATGCCCACTGGAATTCCCGGGGATGAGTAGTTACAGTTTTATTTTTGCCCTAGTTTTAAGCCTATGAATGAATATTTTATTTATTTTATTTTATTTGAGCCTAAGAATGAATATTATCAGTGGATAATTATATACGTATATATACAGATAAGTATTAGTCACATAGCTGTTTGAATTATTGCATGTAGCCTAGAGTCTTATTCCAGGACTGTTATATATTCTCTGTCTCAGCTTTATTTCCTATGTATTCAGATTGCTCATTGCCATTTGTTTTGTTATGTTTTGCTCATTGCCGTTTGGATTGCCTTTTCCACTCGCGGTCCTGATACCTCTCCATCCAGTCTCTCCCTGACCACCTGCCAGACCTAGTAGTCTCTCTCAGTTCTCAGGCCCCTTCACTTCCGGGCCTCATTTCAGCCGCTGACCACGTCCTTGCTCACCGTGGGTCCTCACTCTCCTCCCCTTCCTCTTCTTAGTCTGCGTCTCTTCCTCAGCCTACCCCTGGAGTGTCGAAGTTCACCACAGGTCCCCACTTGCTTCTGCACGTTGTCCCTGGGCAACCGCTACTTCTTTTGTGCTTGTTTATGTAATTTCACCTCGTTGTATTAGGCTCCTGTCCCCCTCTTCAGCGAGCTGCACTCTAGCCACACCGATATGGCTGAGCTTGCTGAGCGCGTCTGGCTCTTCCAGGCCTCCTGACCACTGTTTCCATGGCTGTTGGTTCCCTTCTTCTTCTTGGTCTATCTAGCAAATGTTCAGCGTTTATTCTTAACATTTTTTTCTTTTCTGTGAAACACTTTGCCTTGATTCTATTGGGTCATCATTCAGACAGGCACTATGCCACTGAGCTAAATCCCCAGCCTTGGGTCATCATTCAGTGTGGCACCGAAAACACATGTCAAAAAACATGTAAACAAACACGTAAACTTGGTTGTATTTTACTTGCTCGTTTAATGTATAAGAAACCTAAAAGTATATGTATAAGGATTTTGTATATTTATCCTTATCTGTTTTTTTGATTCATTGTTTTCCTATTTTAGAACCCTACAGCCATTCTTTGAAGGATTATTACCCCGAGATAATCCCAGAAACACTCGGTTTGCTATCAACTTCTTTACCTCTATAGGTCTTGGAGGTTTAACGTAAGGATTATTTTCAGAATTTTATTTTCAAATTACAAAATTATGTCACAGGAGCTTTCGAGGCATAATTTAACGAGTATATTTTTAATTAGGGATGAATTGCGTGAGCATCTCAAAAATACTCCAAAAATTATCGTGGCACAGAAACCAGATGTGGAGCAAAGTAAATCTTCCCTGCGCTCTTCGTCTTCCACGTCCTCTTCGGAGTCTGAGTCCTCCGACTCTGACTCTGACAGCAGTGAGAGCAGCTCAGATTCGTCCAGTGAAGACAGCGACTCCTCGTCCAGCAGCAGCCATAGCTCTGCCTCAGGTATTGAAACATCTGTGTTTTTCTTGCTCTTTTCTAACAAGTACTGTATATCACTGGTGATGATAAAGCGAGAAAATCATTTGATTGCTTCTTTATCTTCAGAGTTCAGTTGTTTCAAAGCCACAATTAGTAATGTAGGAGATCATCTATCACTCTTGGAGTCCAGTGTATAACATTTGCAGTGTTGAAGTTATACTTTGGAATCGTCTTCATAGAAGTGATGATATTTCATTAGCAAGTTTTTATCTGAGTGATGACTAAACTTCATAATGTTTGTATTCGAGTTTATATGAACTGTCCTGTCGTTGATATTTCAAAGAAATTTGGTTTTTTACTTTGAATAGTGAATCTGTGTATTAGTAACTGACATGTTTCACACATTCAGTGCATACCTCATAAGCTGTATAGATTTTCATAAAGAACGCATCCATATAGGTAGCACCCAAATCAAGAATTACCAGTGTCCGGGGCTGGGGATTTAGCTCAGCAGCATAGTGCATGCCTGGCAAGCGCAAGGTCGTGAGTTTGATTCCCGGTACCGGAAAACAAACAAACAAACAAAAAAGAATTATCAGTGTCCTAGAAATTCTCCTTTTTGCCTCTCCAAGTTAGCACCCCCCTCCATCCTCACAGTGGCTGCCATTACCATTTGTAATTTCGCAGATTAGTTTCATGTGTTTTAATATTGAGACTGTACATTATGAATTCCTTTAAATCTGACTTACTTCCTTGGTCATGTTTGAGATGTGGCCTTACTGTTGTCTTTATTATTCGTTTACTCCCGTTGCTGAATAGTTACGTACTGTGTGAGTGCACAGTATGTTACTCAGTGAACCTCAGATTTACAAATGTTCCCATGACTACTCTTGGATACGTGTCTTGTCGACTGCATATGCGCATACATACCTAGGAGTTGTACATACCCTTCCATGGCAGTACACACACCACACACAGTCCCTGAGTTCATCGTGGTTCAGATTATGAGTTTTCAACTTCATGATCATGCAGAAATTGTATGAATTTTGTAGAAGCTGTACTTCAGAATTTAGCCTCCTGAGCGCTGAGATTATAGGCATGCACCACCATGCCTGGCTCAAGTTTTGCATCTTGATCTTTTGCTGGACTGGCGGGGTGTGCTGTGATGCCAGTCTACAGGCGAGTGTTAGTGTTCTGAGCACACTGACGTTAGGCGAGGCCGGTGCTGTTGAACCTTTTAGAGACAAGAGCCCAAACCGCAATCCAAGCCCCGCTTGCTCATCGCGGAATGCCAGCACTGTCATTAAACCTCAGTAGTGGGGTTTTACTTTAGAAAAAGCAGCTTATACATTAACATCTTTTGTCTTAAAAAAAAAACAAATAGCACTTGTGCCGTAGGAGCTATTCCTTTTCATTTTAGCCCCTCTGGTGGGTGTGTAATGGTATTATAGTTTTAATTTATGTTTCCTTGATCACTGATGAAATTGACCATTACTTAATTTATTGTTGGCCATTTGGATATTTTTTTTGTTAAGTAGCTCCTCAAGTCTTTTGCTTTTTATTTTTATCTGTTGATTCGTAGGAATTCTTTCTGTATTTTGGATATAGATACATAATTTTTTTAAAACTACATATATGCAATACAAATAACTAGTCCCATTCTTACCTCTCCAGCCCTGGGAGGCTGCCGGAGCTCTGCTCTTTCTGCCTTTTCCCTCAGCAGCAGCCTGAATCAGCAGATGTTCCCAGGGAGAAAGTGGCTGTAGAATGTCAACTTTCTTCTCTCTGTTTCTTCCTTCTCTTGAATTTTTGTCCCTTCTAGTCCTCACTTTTCAAATAAGTTTCCTAATGTATTTGTTTTTGAACTTTTTATTTTGCACTAATTTTAGTTTTGGAGGAAAGTTGCAAAAAAAAGTGTAGAGAATCCACCTATCCCCCCTTCAAGCTGCTCCTAATGTTAGCTTCTTACATAACCGTAGTTTGGTTTTCAGCTGAACTATGCAAATTAGCACTGGAACGTTAGCAATAGTGTTAACTGAGCTACAGACCTTAGTTAATTCATTAAAAGTAAGGAAGTTAATAAGTTTATCAGGAACCAAGAAACTATGTCCTCAGTTGTTAATGTCTTTCAGGACCCTATTGCATTTAATTGCCTTCTCCTCAGTCTTCTGCAGCCTCCAGGCTGTTTGTGCTTAATGATTTTGATACTTTTTGAAGTCCTGAGGTCACTTGTTTTATAGTTCCTCACTGTAGATATTTGTCTGATGCTTTCTCATGATTAGAGTAAGGATAAGCAGTTTTTGGTCAGAATGCCATAGAAGTGATGTGCTCCTTCTAGCGCATCCTGTCAAGGGGCTTATAGTGCTGCTGCTTTACTTTTGTGACGTTGTCCATGATCCCTGGATCGAGATGGTATAAACTGAACTTCTGCACAGAAGTGATTTTCCTTCTTAAATTAAGTGCTTGTAGGCAGATAACTTAATACATGTGGCTCTCTTTTCCAGCTTTCACTTACTATTTTCTTTTTTAAGACCTGGTCTCACTCTGTTATTCAGGCTGGCCTTGAATCACTGTGTAGCCCAGGCTGACCTCGAACTCAGAGCAGTCCTTCTGCCTCAGCCTCGCATGTTCTGGGATTACAGGTGTACGCCATCCCCTCTGGCTCACTTCCTCATTTGGGCAACCATCTTTGGGTTTTGTCAGCAACACTTACTGCTTTGGTCTTTGCCTAATGATGATTTTTCTTTCTATCTTCTTCTCCTTTTAGTCATTTATTCTGTTAGAGTTATTTGTCTTCTCCCATTTATTCAACCATATATTTATGTCGGTATGGACTGATGCATGTTTATCCTATTCTGTGTATTGAAGTGCAGCACTAGCATTTATTTTATGGTAAACATCTCACCTTCAGCAATGAAGACTTCTCCTTGACTTTTTTCTTTGGACCTGTCCCCATTCTTCCTCTCAACACTTCCTTCTGTTGTAGCATCGCAGGTATCTAGATCTTCAGTGCCTTTGAAGCGAAGATTTTACATTGTTGTTTAGTGTCTCTAGTTATTTTCAGCAGGAGCACAGATATTCTGCAATCTTCTTTATCCTACTTGGAAGCAGAAGTGCTGTAGTTAAAGTATTTTTTCAAAGTTTCATTCTAGTTCACATTTTCTGAAAAGATCTATATTGCTTTACTCAAGCTCAGCTCTGCTTTCCTGAATTACAGTATTTTGGTCTGAGTAAGGGCTTGTCTGCTTATCTAAATGCATGCCCTATCTTGTTTCTGTGTTTTATGCTGTATTTCAGAGAGGTAGCACTTTTCCCTGCAGTCTAAATGGAGAGGCTAGTAATTAATCTTCACACTCTTGTTCCTTACCTTGTTATATTTCAGTGTTTATTGCCTACCATGTGGCATCCAGAATTGTGGGCTCTCACTGTCCTTATTATTAGAGCAAAATCCCATTTGTTCACCGGAACTTTTTCTTAAGTTGAAATATACAAACACTGTTCATTTATCTCTTAATTCTGCAGAATGTATTTCATGGTATTTGTTTTGAGAACAGATGATAACACAGCATGAATTGCTGCAGTGAGGAAGCTTGCTGATTCAAAGTTAATTTGCTTTATCACCCAATTTTACTAGACAAGTTTGTTTTATTAATAAAATATTGAATAGCATAAAAGCAGTATGACATGCTCTCAAACTAGAGAAGTGTGAAGCAGACAGAAGGAGAGGAAAGTGCGTCTCTCCTTATGTGACTGGACTGGAGAGTCAGCAGAGCCCTGAGCATGGAGCGCGGAGGGCCGCAGATCACAGTGTAGCGCTCAGCCAGATGGCCTCTGCCTGGGGAGCTGCAGCTTGGCCGAGCTGTCAGACAGGAACCAGAGAGACAAGCCCTGCATGGCAAACCAGCTGATTTCCTGTACACGAAGGCAGGCACTTGGCAGAAGAAATAAGCGGTAGTAGGTTGAGATTTTGGTAGAGTCTGGGCAAGAATGGGCAATTTTCTGCTGTTTTCTTTCTTTCTATGTACATGGGAATTTTTGATGGAAATTTTAGTCATCTCAGCAAATTCTGTTTACCCAAATTAAATAACACAGGTAAAGTGACTAAATTTGTTTTATAAAGTTAAAATAGTGAGTTGTTTCACTATGTTTTTGATTTGTACTTGTCATGAGACAGTAGCATTACATTGTTCGAGGTCTTTTCAGAGAGTGTTTTCAGGAACGAAGGCCCTGTGGCTCTCGTAGAGGCCGTGACTACACCCTCACGAGGCGTCTCATCGAAGTGGCCGTTGCCTCACTGCCAGCACCGGGGAGCAGAATTGTGGGTTCAGAGAGAAATTGGTACTTACATTAGTGGTGTTAAACACACCCACTTGTCCCATTTCTTCCACCTTTAGGACGTGATGTTGCTGGTTTGCATGGTGAGTGTATGTTGACTGTGGATAAAATAATAACATACTATTCCATGCAGTATAACATACATGGGCTGGAATTTCAGTTTTGGCATGAAGCGTATAAAGTGAAATATAATCATTTCTAGCAACTTAATAAAATATTTTTGCTACATTTGCTATAGCTCAAAATTCCTGTTTACTGTACTGAGGATGAAAGAGTATTTCAGTAACTAATGTTAAGATATTGTATAGTCTTCAAAATGAACAGTAAAATCGTCGTCATCAGACTTCTGTATGGTCAGTATGGCTTTGCATCCAGTTTGTATGAATGAGAAACCTACAGTGTGTCAGTAAAGATTATTGTTAAGTTATGAATTAAAATAAAAGCTAACTTTTTCATTTTGCACATGCAGCTAAAGGTAAGAGAAAGAAGGGACAAGGGAAGACCCGAAGTAAAGATGGCAATAAATCAGTCAGGGACCAGCAAGCAAACGACAGGAGACAGGAAAAAAGAAGAGCAGAGGAAAGACACCAGGAAACAAGGTCTGAGAGAGAAAGGAGATCAGAAAAACACAGAAGTCAAAGTTCAAGAGACCAGAATTGGAGAGATCCCATAGTGAAACACACGTCAGACAGGAGCGCCCTTTCCGAAGGGAACGGTTACAGCAGGGTTGGGAGTGCCCGAGACCAGGACATGCATATGGACTGGGAAGGTAAGCATGGTGATCCAGAAAAGAAGAGAGGAGACAGAAGACATTTTCTTTCAGAAAATGAGAATTACAGAGTCCGAAATCAGGACAGTGACAATTCTAGAAGATCAGATCGATCAAAGTCAAGAGAGAAGAATAGAAAACATGCAAGCTCTAAAAGTGAGGAAGATAGGTATCAGAATGGAGCGGAGAGACAATGGGAAAAACCCGGCAGATACTCTGAACATTCCAGAGAGTCAAAGAAAAATCAGGACCGGAGAAGAGAAAAGTAATTCTACAAAATAATGTAAACTGAACATGCTTTATATTCAATTCAAAGTATTTTTTACATTGATGAACTTTATAGAGCTCTTGTATAAAGTACTGCTTTGTATTTGTAAATTTTAAAAATGTTTTCATTTTAACATGTTTTATAACTGGTACATTCAAGGGGCTCCTTATAAAATTATTAGGAGAGAAAAGTCTCAACAGGAAAGGAATGTAAGTCTTGCTTATATTTTGTGAATAAAACAGTCAAATGTTCATTGAATCAGTGATTTTTTTTCCTCTGAGAAAATATTTTTTTCTGATAATGTTTCTAATTATTTCACATATGTATTGCTTTGAACACATTAGGTAGTGTGTAATTATTTTCTCAAGTATTTTGGTGAAGTTAAGTATATGCTAAGCTGATACACAGCTCCCTTGTGTATAATCAGGACTGTCATTGGTAACTTCCTTCTCTCTGGGCTCCTACAGATGGTTAAGTTAAAATGCACTGTGGGAGGTGGACGAATGAGACAAATTGAATTGGGTGAGAAGTTGAAGTCATTTCAGTGTAGCAGGTCTTGCTCAGATCCATCCAGTCCTGACTAGAAATGAAGGCCTGAGGTTGACCATCTGCCAGTGTTCAAGAGAATTAAAACACCAGAATTGTTAGAGAGCTTCTGGTTTTTAGATGTTAACAGTGGTCTTTAAAACAGGCCAAAGTTACACAGCCTAAACAAAATGATCAGCCAGCCTTGGCGTAGGTAGCTTTGGATCTGCTTTGTGACTCCACCATACACCTTCAAAAATTATTTACTATTCAGTTTTGATACACTTGGTCGTTTTTCAGTTTCTGCCCTTCATAGAGTGGGAAGACGAGGCTTACCTTTCTTGAGAAACCTCATTTACTGTGCGAACCTCAGAAGTCCCCGCCAGCAGTGTAGCTCTAAAACTTTCACCCAGTTCAGTTCATTGGTCTCCTCCCTATAAGTCCTGCTACCCACAAAACAATTCATCTTTTCACACATCTGCGTCTTTTCTACCTCTGCAGTTTGTTGCACCAATCTCCTCTCACTTCTGACTTTGCTATGCTAGCCCTCTATTTCCAAATGAGCATATTTTATATGTCTTTTACAAAATTCAGCATCCTTCCCGTCTTTGCACCCCAATAGTACCATGGCCTGGCCCTTACCACTTTCATTTTGAACCTGGACTGTTTGACAGTAGTTTACTGATACTCGCTGTGGGCCAGGTGCTTTGCTAATTGCTGAGTAGTGATAAGTAAACAGGGACCTGTTTATTCTGAGGGGAACCTGAACTCCTACAGAGAGAAGCCGAAAATGATAAGTTAAAAAATAAAATTGTACTTCAAAAAATGTTAACAATTCAGAAAAGCTAAGAAAATAATGTGATGTCTCCCTGCATATCACCCACCTAGATTCAGATTAATCTATAGCATTATACCAATTCGGTCACTACCTTACACAAGTCCAGTGAGACCATACGATTAAATTCCCAGCCATTCAGTTTCTTCAGAGTTCGAGTTCAACCTGTCTTTCCTTGATGTTACTCTAGAGCTGCCGTCCTTTGAGTGTGACTATGCGATGTGTGTTAGTGTCTGATTTTTATCAGAACAACCAAAATGTAAGAGATACCCTAATTTTGCACCTCACACGCTGATATCTATGCAGGTAAGTCATGAAAAGCCAGGATTCCATGGCCCACCTTACACCTGACAGTTTTTTTCCCCCTTATGAATGCCTTCACACAAACCTTTCTGTGGCTGGCCTGGTTATTTACTGCCCTGAAGAGACTGCCAGTATTTCTGTTCCTGTTTTTCTCCGCCGGAAGTCTGCCTCATTCATTCCACCTAGAATACACTTTCCAGTTTGCCTGTCTAAACCTTTCAAGAGCCAAGATATATTTACCTTACTGTGTATAAAGTTTTCTCTGCTTTTCTTTCTAAAGCAAGTTGAAGCACATATGATTAAAAACCTTATAATTGGCATTATACATTATACAGTAACATGATTTTTGTTATCTCTTCCCACCATACAGGTTGTGCAATCTTGGGGCAGAAGCATGATTATCCTATTAATGTAATTGTCCCATATAGGTTCTAGTCTCTCACTCTAGCCATTTATTATAACCAGCTCTTAGGAATGAAAAAGTCACCTGTGACTATTGTGATTTTTTTTTTTAAATTCCTGTATCAAAGAATTAGGTTATCCAAGACCCCAACAACTTACTTATCTATTTTTAAAATGTTTGAATATCCTTTATCTTTTTAGAACAGTTTAAGGTTCACAGCAAAATTAAGCAGAAGCCACAGAGACCTCTCCGTTATTAGCGTCCTCTACAAGGGTTGTGCATTTTTACAATTAATGAATATACATTGACACATCATCACCCAAAGTCCGTAGTCAACATTTGAGTTCACTCTGGCAAACACCTTAACTTTTGATCAAACAGTTCCATGAAAGTCAAAAGTTTGCGAAGGTAAATTAACTGCTTACTCAGTAATTTCATGCATTACAAGGCTGCACATAAAGGTTCAGCAAATGAAACCAAATCTTGCAAGTCGGTTAACCTAGAAATGAGGGATCTGAAGTGAGCATCTTCAGTATGAATTCAAAGTCCTTGCGAGTTTCATTCTTTATGTAGCACCATGTTTTGCTTAAGTAGGGATCTCCCTCCCTAAAAATCACTCAGGAGTCACAGGTATTGGCCAATACCTGAAGCCTCCATGAAGGCAGTACTGAACATGCGCTGTTTTGGTCTGATGATTACTCTTCTCCTTGAGCAGCTGATTCTGGTAAGCCTGCCGCTAGGGAACTCCCTGGCATTGCAAACATAGCACCCTGTACCCGTGGGCAGTGCATTTGGTTCACAAGTGAGCATGTCCTAACCTGGGCTGTTCTGAGTCCTTCCCCAGTAGTTTTTCAGTTCAGGGTATGAAGCCCAGGCTCATGTCTCAGGTGCCCAGAGCAGAAAGGGAGTTTAGTGGATGTTTGTTATCCACTGCCCCGTCGGAAAAGCTGCAGGAGAGGATCAGTGCAATAAAACGGAGCTGGGAAGATGGAGGGCAGAGTCCCACTAGTGTTATCTGGCCTGAATTGAGTTTCATTTGAGCTAGACTTAGAGGTCAATGCATTCTCTTTTCTACTTAAGCTGTTCTGCTATGGATTTGAACCAATTGCATTAAAAGCTTTTATGTTAATTCATTGATTCTTGCTGACAAATAGGTTGGAATCATGGGTGTTAAGGACAACTGTTCATACTTTTGCTTTAGCACTTCATTTTGCCTGTAAATGGAAATAAATATAGACCTGATATAAATGACAGCAAAATACAACAAAGTATTGTTTTTTGAATGACTCTTAACACTTCATGGAAACATCTAAATGAGTGATTTCATATGAGGTTAACTAAATTATTAGAAATCACTATTTTTATAAACCTCTTTTCTGTAGTGCTCTTTGAAAAGTATTGCACAAATGCCAGAATTCAATTCACAACCAAAAATTGGTTTAATATTAATAGTGGAAAAGACTAACTAGCTATTTTGGGAAATTTCATACCTCTTTTAAGCCACAAAGACACGTGAGCCCATGACTTTAACAGCTGATGTAGCGTCCCAGTCATATTACAGTATGAAATGTCCCCAGTCGTCTTCACAATAGAAGTGAAGTCTGAAAATCTCATTATGGACTAATGTATGCAGAGATGCCTCCGTGAAATACAGGGGGGAAATGTGAAAAGTAAATATTACCACCATTTCTCAAGTTCTTAGAGTAATTTTGTTTATATTCTTAGTGTCATTTGTTTTTTATCCAAGAAAAGAAAGAACAAAGCTCTAATGGATAGTTACTCACAGAGGCAAAAGAGAGGAGAAAAATCGTGTTTGTAGCTCGTGAAAGAGACTGCTATAGTAATACAAGTCATCCCATTCATAGTTGCCAACCTGTTAAGCATAGCTCACTGAGGCCAAAGGCAAGTGTTGGTGTAGTGAGAGGAGGAGGAGACACGTAGGGTGGAAGAGAGGTGGTGATGAAAAGAGCTATCAATACTGTTGACTCTTGGAGGTTGGAAGTCCTGTGTTTCCTTGTATGGCCAGATTTAAATCGACAGTCACTGGCAGGATGATTTGATACAAATTTGGAATTCTCGGTGGTATTCAATTTTAAATGTGGGGTTAGCTACTGTTAACCCAATCAGAGCTCAAATGAAATACTTCATGGTAAAGCAGTAGAAGGCAAGCATGCATGAGCCTGATGCCTGGAACACCAAAATGAAGAGAATATGTATGAAAAAATGATTAAATCATTTGAAAGTGTTAGCTTAGTTTGAATGTTTTTCTGTGATTGAATACTTCCACTGTTCAGTATATATTCAACAAAATGTGTACATGTGCACCAAAAGATACATCCAAAAATGTTCAGAGTGGTAGTATTCTTAATAGCCAGAAGTTGGAAACAACCCAAAGATTCAAATTTGTATTTATTCATATAATGGACTGCTGCACAGAAATGAAAATGATAAACCTACAGCTACTTTCAACATGATCAACCAAATTATCATGAATGTTGAATAAGAAGTCATAAAGAAATGCTCATTATGTGATCCCAACTATAGAAAGTTCTAAAATGGCAAGCACAATCTAGTCAGAATATTCTTTCCAGCTTAAATATAAGTCAAATAATTGCTGCTTGTTAAGCATAAACAAAAATACACAAGTGGGAGATTATAACATGCCCAAATATTTTTCTAGTCTTTCTATGCATGTCCCTTAAACATCAAGAGGTAGACTATAACTTTACCCTGGTTTCAAAAGAGACACCCAACACTGAATCTTGAATTTATATCTGAACCATGCCTAGAATTCCAGCCTTTTTACAATCGGAATATATTGTGTACACCTCTATGAGTGGTTTGAACCTGGGGCCGTCACTTGCTTTGGCCAATGGAACACTATGAGCCATGACACAGAAGTTAAAGTAGTTCTTATGTGTAGGGGGCTTGGCCTCTTTGACACCACCAAAAGAAAAGAATCTGTGCTAGCTGGCTGGATAACAAACATTGTAGCCCTCCCTACAGCCAACATTGAACCATCTGCCCATATGTGAGTCCCCAACTAGATCACCAACCTGCCAGATGTCAGGTATGAGTGAGTCCTGACCTACCTATCTGGTACAAACCAACAAGACCACCCAGCCATCTCTCAGAATTTCAACCACCAATAAATGTTTGCTCTAATATAATATCAGTTTTGGAGTAGTTTGC